TCTATTGACAACTACCCTTAAACAAGATTTCCAAAATAGAAATTGGGACACAGCACCACCTAGTGCTTGTGTGGAGTCACCACAGGATATATTTCCTCATCTCGGTCTAGCACAGGGATGGGGGAACCAGTGGCTCTCCAGATATTGCTGTACTACGACTCCCATCATCCTCAGCCCCAACATGGCCATTGGTCAGCAATGATGGGAGCCGAAAGTTGGGATTTCTCACCATTTATGAACAAGTGGGACTTGTTGCCACACAATATTGCCAGCTGCAGTACTGCTGTTCAGGACGCCAGCCAGCCAAGCCCACAGACCTTTCCCCAGGCTACTCCATTCCATCCCCCCACCAGCATTTTCTCAATCCCTCCCCCAAACAACCCACAAGGGGCTTCTTGATAGATACTGATGGGCGTACATGCCTTCAGGCAAACAGAGAACTAGGGTCATGCATCAGTGTCATGAGTGCTCCACAGCTGGACATTTCAGGCAACACAAAACTTTGCACACAGTTACCTGGGAATCTTGGTGGTCCAAGGTGCACGAAGTGGATCATTATGTCCGATCCTACCTTGGGACCTGCTGGTCAAGGGCAGGTAGTGAATAATAAATACAGCTGCTGAAATGTCTATTTCTGCTAAGTCCCGTATACCTGAAGGAGCGTCTCCACCTCCATCGTTCTGCCCGGACACTGAGGTCCAGCGCTGAGGGCCTTCTGGCGGTTCCCTCGCTGCAAGAAGCCAAGTTACAGAGGGCCTTCTCAGTAGTGGCACCCGCCCTGTGGAACGCCCACCCACCAGATGTCAAAGAGAACAACTACCACCAGACTTTTAGAAGACATCTGAAGGCAGCCCTGTTTAGGGAAGCTTTTAATGTTTAATAGGTTATTGTATTTTAGTGTTCTGTTGGAAGCTGCCCAGAGTGGCTGGGGAAGCCCAGCCAGATGGGTGGGGTATAAATAAATTATTATTATTATTATTATTATTATTATTATTATTAGTGGGCAAATGTGCGGACAGCAACGCGCCTGCTCCAACCACTGCCTGCCTCCTCTGGGCCTTGGAAGTTGCTGTCCGCACAGTTGCCCACTTAGCAGAAACAGACCAACATTTCAGCAGTTATATTTATTATTCTTATTCACTACCTGCCCTTGACCAGCAGATCCCAAGGCAGGTTACAACGATTTAGCATTCTGAATCAAAAGCAGTCACAGATATGGGTGGGTCCTGCAAACACACATCTCAGGTGGCAAAGGTCAAGGAAAAGAGCATGCATAGAATCAAAGAGTTGGAAGGGACCCTGAGGATCATCTAGTCCAACCCCCTGAAATGCAGGAATATGCAGCTATTCCATACGGGGATCAAACCTGCAACCTTGGGGTTATTAGCACCATGCTCTAACCAACTGAGCTATCCAGCGTCACAACGACACCTGCTTCCCGCTTAGCTTTCTTCATTTTAGCCGTGTAATCTAGTCTGGGCACCGGGAAGTCATTTTTGCCATTGCCGTAAACACTCAGCTCATCCGGGGAAATTTTACTCCTGGCTCTGCACCCTACAGAATATTGCAGGGCGGTGACTTGGAAATGGGAAATTTTCTGCCACCGCCCCAGTACTGTGGAATGCCCTTTCCTCGGCCTTGTATGAAGAAGTAACCACCAGTTGCTTCAGATGCATTGCAAAAACTTACCTTTTTGCCCAGATATTCCCTGCTCCATTAGGGTGGAGCCTGATGCCCTGAAATTTTAATTTCCTTTGCTTTTATATGTTTATATACTGCTGAGCTATTGGTCTGACGTTGTGCTTTTTGCTTTAATGATATTGTTGCTGTTTTTATAATGTCCAGTGCTTAGAGATTTTTAAAAAGAAAAATATGAATGAGTTTACAAATGCTTTAATAAAACAACTGGGCATCAGAAATACACCCCAGGTTCAATCAGAGTGGAGCTAAGAATGTCAACGGCCTGAAACCCTGGAGAGCCACTGCCAGTCAGAGCAGACAATACTGAGCTTAGGGAGATTAATGTTCTGTACTCCATATGAAGCAGCTTCCTATGTTCTTAATATGGGAGAACTGGTTACTTGCCCTTATCTAAATTGGAACTCTGGATTAGATAATACTGTTTAAATCCTTGTTTTATCTGTCTAAACCAGCTTCCCCCTCCCTGCTCCCTGGAAAAGTAATGGAAGAGGGTGCAGCTAACCCCAGCTGCCACCCACTTGATAAAAAGCTACAATCAGGAGCTGGCATAACTTCAAAAGCAGACGGGGTCACACCCACTGCAGCTTAGATGGGAGACGGCTGGTGTTTGATGTCCTCTCAAGAGGTTGGCCGGGTTTGGGCTGATGCCCAGGTTGTGCAGGGGGGTGTTGGCGGTTTTCTTCTTGGAACCAGAAACATCTCACTGGCTCGCACATGCATTGGTGAATTGCAATGAAATCCTCCTGGTAACAATTGAGGCTTGCTAGTGCGTGCATGTGTATATACGCATGTCTCCTTTCCCCATCTAACCTTAAGAAGCTACGGTCCTAAGACTTACCTTGCAAGATACAACTGTTGTGTACCATTAGGGCACGGTGATCAGCGGTGCTTGGTGAAAACTGCAATAATGATGATGATGATGATAATAATAATCATAATAATAAATTACTTATACCCCACCCATCTGGCCAGGCCTCCCCAGCCACTCTGGGCAGCCCCCAACAGAAAATTAAAAACAAAATAAAACATCAAACATTAAAAACTTCCCCAAACAGGGCTGCCTTCAGATGTTTTCTAAAAGATAGTTGTTTATCTCTTTGACATCTGGTGGGAGGGCATTCCACAGGGTGGGCGCCACCACCGAGAAGGCTCTCTGCTTGGTTCCCTGTAACCTCACTTCTAGCAGTGAGGGAACCACCAGAAGGCTTTTGGAGCTGGACCTCAGTGTCCAGGCAGAACGATGGGGGTGGAGATGCTCCTTCGGGTCTATTGGGCCGAGGCCATTTAGGGCTTTAAGGTCAGCACCAACACTTTGAATTGTGCTTGGAAATGTACTGGAAGCCATACGTGCAACATACAGACAAAGGCAGGGGACGGGAAAGAAGTTGCCTAGTAAAAATGATACCACCAAGGAAGAATGCTCTGCTCTGTGCCTTTCTGTAGGAAGAGGTGTGGTGCAGCCCACTCTTTCAGGGCTGTACAACTTCAGACGTGCTTAATGTCAAATACTGAGATCCTGCCCTTAATCCAAAGATCTTGTATATCCAACTAAGTGCTACTCATAGCAGACTTATTGAAATGAATGGACATAAATAAGCCACGTCTATTGTTTCAGTGATTCTGCACTAGAATGTAGTTAACTCTGGCAGAGGTGGATTTAGGACAGTGCGACCGGTTCCACTGCACTGCGCACTGAGCCTAGGGGATGCCGCATGGTGCCACAGCTGTGACATAGTGAGTTGAGCAGAATGGCAGCTGGGAGGTGGGGGGGGGCGTGTATCAAATTTTGACCTTGCACAGGGCACCGCTGAAATTTGAAAGACCAAAGTTATGCCCTGACATTGGATATAGGTAAAGGGACCCCTGACCATTAGGTCCAGTCGTGACCGACTCTGGGGTTGCGGCACTCATCTCGCTTTATTGGCCGAGGGAGCCGGCGTACAGCTTCCGGGTCATGTGGCCAGCAGGACTAAGCCGCTTCTGGCAAACCAGAGCAGCGCACGTAAACGCCGTTTACCTTCCCGCTGGAGCGGTACCTATTTATCTACTTGCACTTTGATGTGCTTTCGAACTGCTAGGTTGGCAGGAGCTGGGACCGAGCAACGGGAGCTCATCCCGTCACGGGGATTCAAACCTTCGACCTTCTGATCGGCAAGTCCTAGGCTCTGTGGTTTAACCCACAGCGCCACCCGCATCCCTCTGACACTGGGTGCAACCCAATAAATCTTTGACCCGCCACATGTTGTTGAATGTCAACTCCCAGCAATCAGCACAGCCAACTGTGAGGAATGATGGGAGTTGTAGTGCAGCCGCACCTAGGAGGCCACAGGTTCCCCCACCCCTTGCAAAAAATTAAAATCCTAGCCCTTCAATAAATACCAATCAAAAGCAGTAAAAACAGGATATATGACCCTGGCAAAACAAAAAAACCCACCAGATCAAGCATAAAACCAGCTACAGAGCCTAAGCGCCTTTGCAGACACCCACATTTTAAGATGATGTCAGAATGGCATGGATGTAGATGCCTGTCAAATCTCAAGCTGGCAGGAAATCCAGAGCACTGCCCCTGGAGAAGGCTTCTCACCAGTATTTCACGAAGGCCCCCAACATAATATGGCCACAACTGTTGTCAATCCCCCCCCCCAACTCGCTAGCTTTTATCAGTCAAGATTAGGGATGGGGGAGAAATTCTGTCCACCTAATTCACATTTTCTGAAAGCAATAAGCGAACTGAAACAACACAGCCAGCCTGTGAAATTTGCACCTCTCTGAATACTGCAGGGAAGTTCTCTCTCTAAGTTATTTGTGGAGAAACGCATCTATTCAGGTAAAGTGTACACAATAAAGCAAACATCTGTGAAAATAGCATGCAAAACATTATCGGGCAAAATGCTGGGCAAAAATTCACTGGTGAATTTTTTTCAAGGCCTTTAACAAGCAAATAAATCACAATCTGATGTGGAAGTGAGGAGTACTGGACTTGAGAGTGGAAGAATGAGAGAACTGGATAAAAACCAGAACTGATAGATTCTAGAAGTTCATATATATATATATATGCATGCATGTTTAAAATATTTATATTCCACCTTTCTGCCTGACAACCAATCTCCATGGCAGCTTATAAGAAATGAAAATTAATATGCATTCATCAGTAAGTCTCTGTTTAAAAAGGTGATGAAGGCTCTGAGTGGGACAATGATGGAAACGTCCACCTCCCAGGACACAGGTGGTGCTCTTGTGCTGACAATACATACGGTCACCTCTCAGGGATGCTGAAGTGGGGCATCCCTTGGGGAAAGGCTGTGGCTCCGTGGCAGAGCATCTGCTTTGCATGCAGAAGGTCCCAGGTTCAATCCCCAGGCATCTCCAGGTAGGGCTGGGAGAGATTCATGTTTTAACCTGCTGCCAGTCAGCGCAGACAATGCTAGGTTAGGTGCACCATATATCCGTTTTGGTTTCTCTCAGTTGTTAAGGGTGCTCAGATGTGTCAGGGGACCCCTGTTCACTTCACAGAGCAACAGTTCCAGAATGGTTTGCCAGTACCTCTTCCCAGGGAACTCTGGAAATTGTAGCTCTGTGAGGGGAATAAACAACTCAGTACCCTATCAAACTACGGCTCCCAGAATTCTTTGTGGGAAGCCATGACTGTTAAAGTGATAGTGATACTGCTTTAAATGTATAGTGCAGATGGGGCCTGTGTGTTGATGTCCTGTTACACACTTTCAATGTGAATATTTTGTTCACGTGTAAAATGTCCTTCTTGATTTTAGAAAAAGAAGGTGCCTCCTTCTATCTATTAGAACTGCAGGAAGCCCCAAGACGCTTTCTGCATCTCCCTGAGCACACCCAAAGACGACAAACACAAGAAAACACAACCCTGGTGGTAGATTGGATAAAGTCAGTTTGCAATGTCCCTTCTTGTGTCAACACAAAATAAGCTAGATATACTGAGGAGGCTTAACTAATCTTGCAATACGTGATCCCAAGGAAGTACCTTCAGCTAATTGTTCCTGGGTCACCCGGTTTGAGGGTGTTCTACAATCTCCACAACAGAGATGAGCCTTTCTGGATTATTCTCAAAGACCCATCTGTTTCTCACAGTGGCTAACTGGATATTACTGGGAAGCTCAAGAACAGGGTGTGGAAGGAACAGCCCTGCCTCCTTTCAAATCCCAAGCAAAGGTATATTCCAACATCTACAGCCTCTGATTCTCGGAAGCAGCAGAAAGCAATCATGGCAAGTTCTCATGGACAAACCTGTCCTCCATAAAGTTACAAAGCGATTGCAATTGTCAGGAACGAGTGTGCTTGCGCTAAGCTATGGTTTGGCATAGTGTTGTGTGCAAACACGGTCCCTGAGAAGCAATGGAGATCTGATTGGTTGGAACCCAAAACAGAAGCACACACACTTATTAGGTGGCAACCATACATTGCCATATTCTGAAGGCAAGTTCCCACTTCTTTCATTGATTAGAAGGTGGCTGGAGAATATATAGGAACATAGGAAGCTATCTTATATTAAGTCAGACCACTAGTGCATCTAGCTCAGGGCTGGAGAACCTTTGGCCCTCTAGATGTTGTTGGACTACAACTCCCATCATCTTTTAAGCATTGGCCATGCTGGCTGGGCCTGACGGGAAGTGTAGTGCAACAGCAGGAGGGGCCAAAGGTTCCCCAGGGCTGATCTAGCTCAACACTAGTAAAAACTGAACAAAAACACAACAGTTGAACTGAGAAACATGGGAATCAGACAAGTGGGGCCATCAAGCTCAATAGTCTCAACACTGACTTGCAGTGGCTTTCCAAGTTTCCAGGCTGGTAACATTTTCCCAGCCCTACCTGGAGTTGCCAGGGATTGAATCTGGGACCTCCTGCATGCCCTACCACTGAACTACAGTCCACCTAAAAGTAGATCCCAGTTCTCATGACTCTGAAGCTGTCTTATACTGAGTTAGCCCATTCTTCCACCTAGTTTAGTGTTGTCTACACTGACTGGCAGCAGATCTCCAGGGGTTCAGATAGGGGACAGTCTCAAACCTACCAGGAGATGGCTGGGGACTGAATCTGGGACCTTCTGCATACAAAGCAGATCCCCTGCCCCCTGACTTACGGACCTTTCTCTAAGGTTGTCTCCCTGACAGAGGAAGCCCTCCATTTAGAACAGCCAACTCCTCACAAGAGGAACCGTCTGCTCCCACCCTCAAGCAAGCAAGGTGGAAGACAATTCAAGCAAAGAGGCAGTCAAGGATGAAAGAACAGAGAACTTTCCACCAGCTGAGCTCAGCAGATTCCCAGCTGAGCCCCATGCAGTTTAGACTTTGGACCCCACTGAAAAAAATCTCTGTGGTCAGTGACGAACCTGCCATGCAAAAAACCCCAATAAAAACAAAATAATTGAGCTGTGCACCAGGGTTTGCTTGACCTAAGATTAACTCTGTGTTTGTTTGCAGCTCTGCAAATTGGGGGGGGGGGTCAAAAACACACCCACAACCCTTTAAATTGTGGATTTTTTTAATCTGTCAAAGGGTCACTCGCAGGATTTCCTGGATGAGTCTTTATCACTGGGGGTGGGGTGTTAGAAGAAGAGAAGGAATGGATGGGGAATGGATGGATTCCAGCCAGGCCTCGCTCTTATCCGTTTTATTGCTATCTTCTCCCATAGTTACACTGGGGTCATTTCAGCGCCACCCGGGACACGACAGACGGCAATTTGGGAGACCCAAAATGTCATCCTAATCTAAATTCCAGCAGGTGACTCCTTTGGGCCTCTCTCAGGGTGGCTTGGTACACCAGAGATAAACAAGGTTTGCTTGGATTGACCTGTGTCAACCCACCCCATGCCGGCTCTCTGGAATTTAATGCAAGAACTTAAGGATGTAAGAAGTGTCCTGTTGGATCAGGCCAATGGCCCATCTAGTCCAGCATCGTGTTCTCACAGTGGCTGAGCAGTTGCCTGTGAGAAACCCGCAAGCAGGACACGAGCACAAGAATAATCTGCCCACATGCAATTCCTAGAAGTTCCATAGTTTAACTGTGTGGTCCACAATTGCAGCTTGGTCTACAATTCTGAATGTTGTTGCTGTTCTATAGGAGGGATTCAAGCGTATATCGGATTTTTAGGTTTGCACAAATAAAGTGGGTTAAAGTGCTCTGTTGCCCAAGTACAGTGTAACCACCCACTTTCTGTTTTAAACAGGTGTTTTGCAGTTAGGAAAGCAATGGGAAAATACAATGAAAAGTGTGAGGTGGATGAAACTAATCAGGATGAATGCTCATGGTTGGGAAGCTGCCCCGTAAACAAAGAGAACCACTGCTCAATAAAGGCCAGTCTTGGGAGGGCTGGCTGACCAAAGTTTGGGGCCCAGCCAACAAGGTCAAACTGAAGGACAGTGGAAGAGCTGAAAGCTAAAGAGGGTTTTGATTGTTTTTATAAGATCTGAAGCGGGGTATGAGAGAGGTATCGTTGCCCACCAACCGGCATGCAGAATACAGGCTGATCACTTTTCCTTTTATCTCCATCGTTCAAAGGGCTAGACATTCATTAAATGAATTTACAAAAGACGTTTCAGGGAAAGTGTCTGGAATATACCCCAACAGGCAAGAGGTTGGTATTTGCACCACACAGACCATTTCTATTGCAGACCCAGATGATCATTATTTATGATTGTATCCCATTGTGATCTTATGCAGCCGGCAATAGGAGTAAAGACTCTACTCCAGGCATCCCCAAACTCAGCCCTCCAGGTGTTTTGGGACTGCAACTCCCACCATCCCTAGCTAACATGACCAGTGGTCAGGGATGATGGGAACTGTAGTCCCAAAACATCTAAAGGGCCGAGTTTGGGGATGCCTGCTCTAATCCACTGGGGAGTGTAAGGTGATCCATGGTATTAAAATAGGGATATTGCAAGCTGGCCCCTATTGCAACCTGTGAAGTGATGGAGGATATGGGGAAGTCTAACAGTTAAACTTAGGCTATTTGTCCATCTAGGCCAGGGAGGGGCCTTCTGCATGCAAAGCTGGGGCTTTCTGCATGCCAGAGACTCTCTCCCCTTAAATATAGATTAAGAAAGCACACAACTTTTAAAATGGCAAGCTGGGAATGGAGTTCAGCGCTTAGCAAACTTTTGGAAACGGTCCCCTTAACCCCTGTGGGGTTTGCAGAGTCCTCGCTGGGGCAAAGTCAAGAAAGGAACTATCTTGTTCCTTTTCGAACAGGAAAATGGCATGTTTGACCTCCATAGGTCATGAAGCTATAAAACTGGGTTGTATAACTAACTCAAAGCTGCAACTTGAGCTTTGGACTTCTGATTGCTCGAGGCTTAGGAGGGCGGGAGGGGGAAGAAGGTGGAGATGCCTTTTTCAGGAGCAGGACAAACCAGGAGAATCTCCACTCCAGTCTCATGCCATTTTCAACCTTTGCCTTCAAAGCTTTTGCAGGAGAGCCTCAACATCCAAGCTAAAAGATCTGTATCATCTTCCAAAGGGCACTTTCGGTTCACACCAGCGGTGGCACCACAAAAATATGCCAAATGCACTTTTTAGTGGTATTCTTCCACCCTTCCCTCCTAAACATATGAAGGAAACCCTTTAGACTTTGCTAGGTTCACATTTAATGGAAGCACATTTCAGGTTGCAGCTTGGTGGACCCTGCAATTCCTTACAGCCCATCAATCGCTGGGATCTTCCCAAGTTCAGCCTGCCGTAACTATCTTAGATGGCTCTGAAGCAGCCTTTCCCAGATGTTGTTCGAGTAGAACTCTCATGTTCCCTGAGCACTGGTCCTGCTAGCTAGGGATGATGGAAATTGTGGTCCAACTCCTCCTGGGGAATCTAAGGTTGAGAAAGGTTTCTCTAAAGGGTTGTGAAGACTTATCCTCCAAGAATTTGCCTTTCAGCTGTTACTAGTGACAAACCTGGAACTAGTAGATCACCACAAGCTATATATTAGTTCCAGATTCTAAATCAGCAGCTTCTGGGGAGAAACCACAGGGCTGTTGCTTTCATTCCCTGCTTGGAGACTTGCCAGGGGATTTGACTGGGCACTATGAAGACTGGATGGAGCTTCAGATCTGACCCACAAGGGCTCTTATTTATTTTGCTGAACATTGTTGGCCACTGTCAGGGAACTGCCATCGGACAGAAGGGAGGTGAAAGGGCTCACACAGGTTGGGAGAGACGCAGCGGCTGAAGAGGAAACCAACAGGGAGGTGAAAGGGCTCACACAGGTTGGGAGAGACGCAGCAGCTGATGAGGGAACCAGCAGGGGGAGAGGAGCTGAGCTGGAGGGATGGCTCAGAGACACTTCCAGCGAAAACAGTGGAGAGGTTTCAGGACCTCCTGTAAGAACACCCACTCCTCGCCGGAAACTGTCACGCAGAGATTCCAGAAGACGTGTTTCCGTTAAGGAGCTTTTATGTTGGAAGCGATTACGAAAGCAACCACTGTCGGAATCTGCTAGTGACTAGAGTAGCCATGTCTGAGGGGCTCTGTCACAGACAGAGGTTTGTGGACTTGAACAAACTCTGAGGGGATACGATTTTACGCACAAGCAGCTCATCATCCCATCACAGCCACATTTTAGGGCATTCCCTAAATGACAGCATGAACTACAATATACTATTTTTAAAAAATACAGTCATATAAAACAGCAGCTGAAAACCTCTGGCAGTCCAGCACACTGGTATAAAGACCTAGCTTAAATAATTAAGGAACAATTTAATAATCCACAGCAGTAAAACACTTTAACAACACACACACACACACACACAAATTCTGCCCAGCATCCCAGTTAAAAGCAGCTTGAAATAAATTGAGCGTGAGAACCATTTAAAGGCCAACGCTGATGTCTCTTGGGAGCGGGTTCCACAGGTACTGGGCCTGCCAATCTGACTGATCTTAAAAGAAGGGCCTGCAAGGAGGACTTCTGAGGCTGATGTCAAGACCTTGGCAGACTCATATAGAAGCAGGTTGACTTTCACATCGCCCATTTCCAAACCATTTGGGGTTTAAAATCAGAAAGAATTTAGAGGAACTCCCTATTAGTTTTCAAGAAAACCTATGGTTTCCCCAGAATACTGTTTGAAAGCCAATACAGTACAGGGCTGTTGGGGATGAGTCATAGCTCAGTGGGTAGAGCATCTGCTTTGCGTGCCAAAGGTCCCCAGTTCGATCCCCGGCATCTCCAGGTAGAGCTGGGAATGCTCCCATCTGAAGCCCTTAAGAGCTGCTGCCAGTCAGTGTGGACAATGCTGAGCTAAATGGACCAGTGATCTTAACACAGTAGAAGAAGCTTGCTATGGACACTGACACAGGATGGAAACATGTTCCTAGTTAAGTCACAGCGGACTTGTTTTCACTCGGAAAGATTAATTCACCAAGTTGTAATTCCTTGAAGGTATGGGATTCACAAGGCCAACAGTGTCACCTGAGCAAATCCCAACAGAATGCCAAGAACCAAGAAACACAATAATTTGAATCACAGAGTAAGGTGCACAGGAGAGATGGGGAGCCTGTGGCTCTCCAATATTCCTTAGAATAGAACTCCCATCATTGTTGAACTTTGGTATGTTAGCTGCAGTTCTACCCACAGAGCAAAAACTTTAAAAGCCACTACCCTTAGCTTTCAAAGAAGGTCTATGTTGCTCTGATGCGCCCTGTTACTTCTTAGGTGATAATAAATCATGCCTCCAGCTGATAAGCTAAGTGGCCTCACCTTGAAACAATTCACAGGGGAGTCTATAAAAAGGGCTGTCTTGCAAACAGAACAACAAGGCGAGCAGCTCAATAAAAGCTGATTCAGGGCAAGGAGGAAAAAACACCTCCACCTTTTAAACAGGCTGTTAAAGCCCATTCCCCACAAACGTGAGGCTGACAAAAGAAAAGAAGAGTTAGGAATCAGTCATCTGTGTGATACTGCTTTGAGAACTCTGCTCTCAGGCTTGCATTTGAAATCCCAAGCAAAGTCACCACCACACATTTAAAGTGCTCTTACACCACTTTATGGCTCCCCCCCCCCCACTTTATGGCTTCCCCCCTCCAAAAAAAAGAATCATGAGAACAGTTGTATCAGGGTGCTAATCTCCGAGCTGGAATTCTCAGCATCCTTAATAAACTAGAGTTCCCAGGACTCTCCACAACTGTTCCAAGTGGTATAAAAGTGCATTGAATGTACGGTGTGGATCCAAGTTGCTAGTCCTTAGGACATCATTAGAACGAAGTTCGAGAAACAGTTCAAGATGCAGCTCATAACAGTTCAGTACCCAGAAAGGGGCTTTGGAATTCCTCCACTAGTCTGGGCATTTATCCTAAACTGCTCTTTGCTGACCTCCTCTGCCTTGCACCATAACTGCCTTTTCTACTCTTACCTTCATCTGGCAGCAGCACAGAGGCAGCCAGGTAGGGAAGAATCTGCAGTGCATTCAAGGTATGCACTGTTGGGCTTCCTGTCTCAATCTCCCAATATTTGATTCTATCTCTGCCGATATATCTCAGGGATGGATCCAACTAAGCCATTGGCCATGTTGCCTGTGACTGATCTCAGCTGTAGTCCAAAACATCTAGGGCTGGAGGTTGATGAAGGCTGTAACAGACCAACAGCAGAAAGGGTCAGCTGCAATCCACCAGCACAAAACAGCTTCCTTGAAAAAGCAGGGATTGACCGCCAAAGAGCAAGCTAAACATGTCTACAGAGAGAAACATATCCCTGGTGTCACCACAAAAAAGGCCAGGTTCTGTCAAGCCAAGGTAAATTTTAAATTTAGGGTCAAGTCCATGTGTTTTAATAACACCAATTAAATAAGTAAGCTCTACACAGTCTAACAGGGATGCGGGTGGCGCTGTGGGTTAAACCACAGAGACTAGGACTTGCCGATCAGAAGGTCAGTGGTTCGAATCCCCGCGACGGGGTGAGCTCCCGTTGCTTGGTCCCTGCTCCTGCCAACCTAGCAGTTTGAAAGGACGTCAAAGTGCAAGTAGATAAATAGGTACCGCTCCGGCGGGAAGGTAAATGCCATTTCCATGCGCTGCTCTGGTTCGCCAGAAGCAGCTTAGTCATGCTGGCCACATGACCCGGAAGCTGTCTGCGGACAAACGCCAGCTCCCTCGGCCTATAGAGCGAGATGAGTGCGCAACCCCAGAGTCGGTCACGACTGGACCTAATGGTCAGGGGTCCCTTTACCTTTACACAGTCTAACACCTTAAAAATTCCCAAAGGCAGAATAATCAGAGGACTGTGAGCCACTTTGCTGGGATGTATAACATTTAGAAGTTTCCAAATAAGGCTTGTTATCCTCTGCCAAGGGAATAAGCCCGCTTGTTCCAATGTGTTTTGCAATAAAGAATTTTAAACATTTCACCAAGACAGAGGTAAATATTTTTGAAACCCACGACGAGTAAAAAAAAACCTGGATGAAAGATTCAACTAATATCTTTAAAGGGTTTCTGAATAACCACAATACAAGACTGCTTCTAAGTTTGCTAGTTGTGGGAGAAGCACACCCTTAAAGATTCTGAAAAAGGAAGCTGTATAACCATCTAGGCTAGGAGCCTTGCCTGATTTAAGATGCTTAATCGTTTCCAAAATCTCCTTTGTGGTTATGCAGTGCTCAAGAATGTTCCTGCTCACCTCCCTGAGCTGAGATATTTACACAGTATCCCAAAAAATGTTATCTTGGCTGCAGGAGGCAAACAGGAACCATACAAACTGATATAAACGTTGGCAAACTCCTCAGAGTTTGCCAACTGTCTTTCACTCCTGACTATTTAAATATATTTAAACAGATTTTCCCATTATCTCTGAAACTCCAGTTTTACTTTTTATGTAATTTATTTGCCATTAAATATGAACCCTCCATATTCATAAAATCTGTGTTTCTAGTGCAGCAGATCAACAAGTTTGATTCCTCTCTAGCACTTCCTGTTCTTTCTGTTTACATTCAAGTTGTTTGTACATCTGACAAGAGCCAGTGACTTTACAAACTTGTTCAAGGTCCTGAATATTTTCCCCCCAGTGTTTTGTGTCTGACCCGCAAACCACCCCCTTTTCAAAGTAAGTGAACCCATCGTGCACTCCTAACGATAAACGGAAACTGGTTCACTGACTTGGCAACACTCTTTCAAGTTAAGAGACAGAGCAAGAGAGGCAATACTTTTATTTGGAGAAACCAGATTTATTTTTTTTAAGAGGCAAACTGTTGAGTCATAGGACTTTTCTTCAGGCTTAGATGTTGGGAACTGGGCTGGGTGGTTGCCTCGTTAGGCTGTTTGCCTGGACAGATCTGCTTTAGTCACAGCACAAAACAGCAGAATTTAGGCAAAACAGACACTGTAAGATAACAAAGAATGCATTCTGCCAAAATGGAAATCACACAAAGTCCCCTTAAGTCCAAATCAGCAATATATAAAGTATGGTAAGGTAAAGGTAAAGGGAGCCCTGACCATTAGGTCCAGTCGTGACCGACTCTGGAGTTGCAGTGCACATCACGCTTTACAGGCCGAGGGAGCTGGTGTACAGCTTCCGGGTCATGTGGCCAGCATGACTAAGCCGCTTCTGGCGAACCAGAGCAGCGCACGGAAACCGTTTACCTTCCCGCTGGAGCGGTACCTATTTATCTACTTGCACTTTGGCATGCTTTCAAACTGCTAGGTTGGCAGGAGCAGGGACCGAGCAACGGGAGCTCACCCCGTCATGGGGATTCAAACCACTGACCTTTCGATTGGCAAGTCCTAGGCTCTGTGGTTTAACCCACAGTGCCACCCGCGTCCCATATAAAGTATGGTACTCCTACCAAAAAAGGGAGGGGGGGAGGGAGAAAAACCTAGAATTGGATATATTTTAGCTCAGATCAGGCTTCACATGCAACCAGAGATTGTGCCAAGTCTAGTATAATATACAAACTATGGCTGAAACTTTGAAAACATTCAACAGACAGTCGAATAGTTGCAGTTTCCTAAATTTACTCCCATCTCCATAGTGCAGGAGGTTTGGGAGATGAAGGAACAGTCATAAATATGGCATGTCAATTCATTCCAAACCACTGTTAAGTTTCCCAAACCATGGTTGGCTTGTTTGTTTTACTTCATAAAATTTATATACCACTTGATTGTAGATAAAATCTCAAAGGGGTATACAAAAAAGATACTGTAAAACAATAAAACCATCACTTAAAAAATTACGATAATTTACAGAAGGTTAAAACCACAATAGAGGTTTGGTGTGATGTCTGAAGAGAGTCATAGTTTATCCACCCTGATTATTATAAAATTCTGAAAATGGGATACTTTCTTCCCTCAGTCCCTTAACACCAAGGACATAAACATCTGTCATATGACCAGGCCTTTTTGTCAGCTAGAACTCCGTTCCGGCACTTCTCAGGTGGGTGCTATTGCCATTATAAGAAAACAAGGGAGGCGTTCATGGTGATTTCCGGCACCTCTTTTTCTAGAAAAATAGCACTATATATGACGGTAGCCAAACTATGTGGGAATAGATGGGGGATGTGATATAACTGAAGGCTACCTCAAACTGCCATGGACTAGCAGGAATAGAGCTCTGGAAACAGGTCATGTGACAAATATGGAACCGTAGAGGAAGGCCCCCTTTCCCTTGGTTTCTGAATCCTCATATTGGGAGAGGAGGAAGGGTTGTTTTTGTTCATTTAATTATTTTAATTATCTAGAACTTTCTGATTAAATTTATTAGTTGCCTGGCAACCCAGGTTTTCTAACCAACCAATAATTTAGAGCCACTAAAATCCAATAAATAAGGTGACTGCAAATAGGAAGGCAAAAGTTTATTAGTGGTTTATTATTATCAAGCACATAACCCATTTATTTTTTATCAGACCAGAGTTGGCGACTGAGAGTCTTACTTACCAGGTTCTTTCTATTTGGTCTGAATTTGTGTTTGGCATTTAATTCCCCTTTTCCCTGACAGTACTGGACACTCCGCTATCTCTTCCCTTTCCTTTAATGCCTGTATCTTCCACTATCGCGCTCCCCACTTGGGGAAAGAGTTCTTAGGAACCTGAAAGTCTGCCCCATCCATATCAAAGTGCACTGACTCGTCTACAGAAAGGGGCTTGATTTTACTTGCTGTGTGCTGCTACTGCTTCTGAGGGACCAAGGCAGCCATGTCTAAGACCCCTACAGGAAGGCTCAAGGCAGTTTTCTATTGCCAACAGCAAAGCTGTCTTTTGTGGCACCCGAGAAGATGCCCTCTGCTTAGGCCACATTCCTTTAAGCTTCCGAGAGTCCTGTGGCACTGTTGTGGGCTTCCAATATGTCTTCTAGATAAGCTACTGTCCCCCTTTTCTTCGGGCATCCTTCCAACAGCTCCTCGATACTCCGCACATGCTCAACAGCCCTTTCCAGGAATTTGCTCCTTTCGGGAAAATTCTCACCTATCCCCACTTCCTCTTCGGAAACTCCAGATTTCAAATACTGCAACATGTAAGATCCAATTACTTCTCCATGCTCAGCCACCGCCTTTTCGATAGCCGGCAGGTCCACCTCGTCTGCCAGGCTCAGCAAATGAAGCAGAGTGTGGCAGAGCTGCGTCCGCAGGCTGGCGCTGTACTTGAACTCCAGGAAGTCTTGGGCCTCCTCACTTCTCTGCAAGGCCACAACCAACGCACTCCAGATCTGGGAGAACTGCTCAGGGGTCCCGTAGCGCTTCCTTTCGGCTGGCACTGAGAGGGCAGCAGCTGATTTGATGCGGACTTTGAAATTCTTGCAGGACTTGACAACAGAGGTAAGGGCGTTATAGGCTTGGGCGGTCCAAAGGGCTTCTCCTAAAAGAATTTGAACCAGGAAAAAGCAAGGGTCAGGAGACTGGATAAGGTGCTTCATGGCCACAATCTGCCAAAAATCTAAGAGACAGGTGGGCCATGTTCAAGGTCCTGTTGTTAACATATAAAGGCCTGAACAACTCAGGACCAGATTACCTGAAAGACCACCTGCCCATGTTCACTTAGATCACCAGTCTTCAACTGGTAGGTCAGGACCTACTAGTAGCTTGTGGCCTGATCCAACGTGGGTTATGACAGGAGCACTACCACAACACAAAAATATGGTAAAAGGTTGGAATGGGTCCCAAAATGCATTTGGGGGTTAAAAATGGGTCCTGGGTCTGAAAAGATTGAAGATACCAACTTATATCACCAGGGAGAAATTCTACTCATGGCAGCACTGCACGCTACAGAATATCATAGGGTGGTGACCTGAAAACAGACATTATCTGTTACTGCCCCTGTACTGTGGAATGCCCTTACTTTCTGCCATATGTGAAGCAGCAATTGCCAGTTGCTTCAGATGTTTTGTGAAGACTTTACCATTTTTGCTGGGGCTTTCTCTGGCCTATAAGACCAGGCCCTGATTTATTTGTGCAAATCTCCTGAACATCTGATTTACTTGCCTTCATGGGGTTTATAGAAAGTTTTTTTTATTTTATTTCATGTATAATGTTTTCACATTGTACGTAGCATGCATGGTTTAAGAGATTCTCAGAATATTAAGTGGTTTTGAAATACTTTTAAGTAAAATAAAAATGCAATGAATAAATGGAATTTCAGAGGCAGTGTGCCATTGAGTATGAGTGCCATCCCCAGTATGATACAACCGGGGTTTCCTTGGATTCTTACACCATACTGCCTGTGATCTGTAGACCAGGTGCCTTGAAGAGACAAGAAGGGAAATCTTTGCCAATATCCACTCAAAGGACACATGGTCCTAGGCCTCATTTTTGCACATCCATTTGGGATCAATAACATACAAGACAAATGAGGCACAGAAACATCGAACCATTGTTTTGCACTCACCCAGCGGCAAGGCAGGATTTTTGAAGACGTTCCCAAGTGCGTAGCAGGCGTTCCAGCAGACTTTCATTCTGTTTTCACTCTGCACTGTAGAGATCAAGGCATGTACAGATTCCTCAATGGGTTGGCTGAACCTGGGATTAGCAATCTGTGACGGCTGCAGAAAATGAAGGAGGTTTCCAAGGGCACGGACAGCATTGCTTTTCACCTGGAAGAGAGATTTTGAAATTCTGGTATGTGCAAGAAAATGGCTGCTGCCACTGCCTTCAGTCACAGATTTACCCAGGCTGTAAGGTGAGTGAGCATCAGAAACAGGACCTTCTTGGTGGTAGCGCTGTAGGTCTGGAATACCCTCCATTCGAAAATCTATCCAGCTCCCTCTGTGGCTTCTTTTCATTGTGAGTTAAAAACAGGTTTTCCCACTCAACTACTGCTGGTATTTGTATTGTGTTTTAGATTGCTACTTTTAATTTACTTTTGTGTGCGTTTTAAAGAGTTCTGCTTTATTATATGTGTTTGCAAAGCCACGTCAAGCGCCTATGAGCTGGAGTAGAAATAACAGTTCCACACTCCATCTGGTATATCATGTGAAGTCTGGGAAGCAGCTTCATTCCATGTTCCTTAAACTGAGGAGTGCACATATTGAACCAGGTTCAAATTGCAATTCGGCCCCAGAACGTTTGGGAACAACCACTCCAAAGTGAAACTACCCCATAGTGTTGCTAAGACTGTAGAGGGGAGAGAAATGTTTCAGAGGGGCAGCCACGTCAGTCTGCTGCAGCAAAACAAGAAGTCGCATAGCATTTATTTTTGTAAACCTCTTTTTTCTGTAACAATCAAGCAGTATATAAATTTTGATAAATAAAAATAAATTTAAACACTAGCAAATTTATTACGGCATAAGCTTTGTGAATTACAAGCCAGTTTGTTTATTTGACAAGACTCATATACTGCTCAAACAACAAACACATCTCAGCACCTAAGAACAGAAGAAGTTGACTTTAGCTCCAATGAAGTGAATTTTAAACTCATAAAAGCTTATGTCACAGTAAATTTGTATTTCAGGTGCCACAAAGGCTGGAAAGATGGGAAATAAAGAAGCCACAAAACCTGCCCCCTTGTGGCAAGAGGTCATGTGCAGAAGTGCAGCACCAGACTTCACATTCCCCTGAAAAGAACCGATTTGGAGCTTGCTTACAATCATAGCTGCTTGCCTCTCCAACAATGCAAAATCCAAGCTGGAGGCAGGAAACACCTTGAGGAAAATGTAGTACATTTCCCAAAACACTCCAGCACTTAGTCTATGTGGGACGACAACTACAGGTCCTGTTTTCAACTGCAAAGTCTCACCACTTCAGCCAGCCAGAGTGACATCACTGCCCTCTATGAATGCATTGGTTATTCCAATGCACTCCTGTTCTGGTCCTGGCTGAATGGTTAAGTGGATTCCTCAATGCGTCTAAATAACAAAACACATTTTGGCCACCAACTCTGGAACTCTTGGCACTCCCAGTATTTGAAGTGTGTCTGAATCCAAGAGCTACACACAAGTCCACAGCACCACCAAATACAAAGGGATCGTCAATGCACTTGCCTTGTCTTTGTCCTTTGACGCATCAGTTGCCGACCGCAACATTTTCAGAAGCAGCAGGTCTGAGAATTCATCCTGGAAACTTTGTCCCAACAACTCCCTGCATTCCCAAAACGGGAAGGGGGATCAAAAGAGGAGAGATCATAATTAGAACTGCTGCAAGAAATGCACACATAATGCCCACCTGAGTAAAAGATGAAACTCAACAACAAAACTATGTTGAGATGAAACTCAACAACAAAACTATGTTGAGTTAGCATCAGACAAAACAGCAGTGCCCTTGGACTGGCCATTTCAAATTGTGGGAAGGAAATCCATGATTAAATTAGGAATCTATTGCTTGTTCTTCTACATACTTCTACTTACTGCTTTTTTTAAAAGTAAGAAATGAGTGATGTAAATTGAAGACCCAGAATCAGATTCATTATGGACTACCTGCCCAATTCCCACAAACACACACACACACACCATCTCATTAGGACAAAACAGAAGTATCAAAAACTAGGCTCTGGTACAGGCAGGTAGTGGAATTTTAAATGCCACTGGGGAAACAGCACACAAATAGACTTGTGTACCAAAAGGTTGGTATCTGGGTCAAAACATTAAAGGGAGAGGACAGGGCCTTCTCTGTGGTGACCCGTCAGCTTTAGAAACCCCCCCCCTTTGAGGTGTTATCTTTTTGGCACTGAGTAGAACCTTCCCCCTTTCTCAAACGCTTGTTTCTTTTAAATTTTAATTTTATGGGGTTCAGTTGCTGTTTTTCCAAATGTCATTTAAATAATGATTTCATAAGATGTAAAAAAAAAAAAGTCCCAAAGGAGTTTGCTACATACATGTTGATGATCAGAGTGTCTGTCAGGTTGCCCAAGGACCAAGCTGCTTTGGCACGGACGTTTGGAGAACTGTCACAGAGGGAATCCAGGATTGCGTTGGCTGTGTCCGCAACGAACATCACATCCTAAGGATAGATATTGACCATTTTTTTCGGTCCATTTGATTTCACCCTCTTCCCCAGGAACCCTGCTTGGCTGATTTTATATATCACAACCCAGCAAGGGATTTTTGTAGGAGTGTCTAGCTCAGCTGCCACACAAGGGTGTCTGGATACATTTGCAGCTTTTTAGTTTAGAAAAAAGGTAAGCAGGAGGCAACATGAGTGTATAAAATTAAACATGGTGTAGAGAAAGTGAGTTATAACAACAACAAAAAGGTCTCCCTGTCTCCTAACACAAGAATTCAGGGGCATCTGTTAAAAGAAGAATGCTGGAAGATACAGGACAGACAAAAGGAAGCAGAAAGAATTTGCTTCCACATCAGGCAGTGATGGCCACCAACTTAGATAGCTTTAAAAGAGAATTGGCTAAATTCGGGGAAGGCTATCAATGGCTACAAGCCACAATGACTAAGTTCTGCCTCGACTGTCAGAGGCAGTAGGCTCCTGAATGCTAGTGGCTGGAAACCACAGGCAGAAAGGATCCCTATAGGCATCTGGGGAGAACAGGATCCTGGACTAGATAGACCACTGACTTGATCCACCAGGCTCCTCTTAAATTCTCCTGCTGGTTGTCACTGGCTGAGCATTCTTACCTTGCTTCTACCTACGACTGGCCAAGCTGCTCTTATGGTTACCCATGAGAGGGATGGGGCAATTAGAGAGAACTGAACAGGGTCTGGACCATGAGAAAGGACAGGAAATGGGGGCAGAAGAAGAAAACTGAAGAGCAAATAAGCCAGCGGTGAAGCTGTAGCCCTACGGATGTTGGTCTAAAACACCCATAAGCTTCAGATAGCATATTAATGGTAAGGGATGATGGGTGTTGTAGTCCACCAAACTTCTGTCTCAAAACAGCTGTCGGCTACGTGTTTTCAAGAAGCCTACAAGGGCAGGAAGGCAATATCTCTCCCCTGTTTATCCCCAGCAAGTGGGAGTTATGCTGACTCCGGATATGGAGTTCATTTTATTCCTCTTGATATGGTCACTACTCCTGTGGCAAAGTTATCCTAGTGATTTAAGCTTTTAAAAAGCCAACCTTCCTTCAGCTTTGTAAAGAAGCCTGCAGAAGTTACTAGCCTGCAAACTTTAATAGGCTGCTAAGAGGCTAATAGCCTGCATTTCCATGTTGGCCATGAAGGAAAGGAAGCCCCCTGCTCCTTGGTAGGCAAGGAATCACAGGCTACTGGCCTCTTAGCAGCAGGCTGGTGGAAGAAGAATGAAGTGGTTGCCTGCACGGAATTCCTGGTTGCCTATGACTATCCGGTGCATCACTAACTGCAGAGTTGGCCTTCCTCTACATATCACGGACACTGTATTACATTTTATCCAATATACCCCATCACCTTGATTGACTGTTAATTACTGACGGGTTGTATGAGGTGCCCAAACTTCACTGGTCTCCTGATACTACAAGGGCCTCTGAGTACATTTTCATCTAATTGGTGCTCCAGCTACTTAAAATCTAGTGCAATTACCCCAAACCGCTAATCTTATCCTTTCACTAATCACAACCTATCATTAAATTAATTGCTTCTCAGTACTCCCCAGTGACCTTACAACTCTAATCTGCTCTTCAGTGTCACGCTCCATTTGTCTTCTCCTTTCTTTGCCATTGCTATTATTCATTTAAAGAAAAAAAAGCCACACACACACTCTTTTTAGCTTCAGCTGTTTGCGTGTTTAGCTTAGCAGTGCTCTCTGAAAGAGCAGCCTGCTTACTAAAGGACTTGCAAACATACACATGAGGTTTGAACAGAAATGCTAATCTCAAGCTGTGCTTTGAGAGCCCAAAGGATTGTCAAGTGAGTAGTTATACTCAGTTATATACAGGAGAAATTTATAATATCCATGTCCCACCCACTGGAGAAGGGAGACATTTGTCCAGGACCTAAGTAGGGTGATGTGTAACTAGACCTGTATACTTGCTTCAGTCCCGTGTTGAAAGAAGCTACGAGCAAAAAGGTCCAAAATTTGAACAGGCTGAAGACATTGGTGCAAATATAGCAGTGATTTTACGGGTGGCTAAATTAAGACTTGCAATCTGCCCTTCATGGCAAAAGTGACAGAATTTGCATTTGTGTGTGGTGGTGGTGGAGAAAAAACAGAAGATTTTGAGGGCTTTTGGACCCCTTTCATTTTCTATGCAAGTCTGAAATTCAACACGGACATGAATGCATTTAAACATTTTCATGGCAGTGAAAAAGAACTACAAAACATTATGAAGCGTATGAAATTTGCAGTTGTAAGGGTTAGTGTACAGTCGTACCTTGGTTCTCGATGGGCTTAGCTGCCAAAACAAATCGGCTCCCAAAATCGGAAGCAAGTGCTCTGGTTTGTGAACGTTTTTCAGAAGCCAAACATCCGAAATGGCTTCCGCTTGAATACAGGAAGCTCCTGCAGCCAATCGGAAGCTGTGCCTTTTCGAACGGTTTCGGGAGTCAAATGGACTCCTGGAACGCATTCAGTTCGAGAACCAAGGTACCATTGTATATGCATTTTGTACGTAATACAATTTAAATGTCCCATAGCGCATGTTTAACGTTTTGTAAATTAAAACTTTGAAGACTGATTTATAATAGGACAGAGAACTATGCTTGTCAATGCCACAGCAAAGTGAGAGACTGAACACACTAGCAGGCCTCATCCTCCCATAGAACTCACTGTCATAAGATGTGGTGATGGCCTCTTGTTCTGACAACTTTAAAGGGGAACCAGCCTTCTTCTCATCCCTGAAGTTGCCTATCTAAAATCTATCTTCTATTTCCACTGTCAGAAATGTTATGGCCCTGAATACCAATTGCTGGGTATCCCAGGCAGGGAAATCACTATTGTGCTCAGGTCCTGCTTGTCAAATTCCAAATAGGCATCTGGTTGGCCAATATGAGAAAAGGATGCTGAACTAGACAGATCATTGGCCTGATCCAGTGTGCTCTTTTTAAGCTGCTGTTGTTGGACTAGATGGGCCACTTGCCTGATCCAGCAGGGCTTTTGCTATGCTCCTATATAAATTATTATTCTTATGTTGAGTGAAGAATTACATCTTGCCTGCCTTGGATTTCACTTGGTGACCCTGAGTTTAGGAGTCTAGTAGCTCAAAGTTAGAAGGTTTCATCTGCATGGAAAAAGCAGAACAGCAAAAAAAATCCCACAATTCCCACCCACCCCCGGCTAGTAAGTTTTGTGGGCTTATTTACAAGGCTAGACTTAACAACAACACTGTTCCCATTTCATAACAAGATGCAGAGCAAAACCAAAAGGAACAGAGGAAACAGAGTTCAAGCTATGACCTGCTGGAGAGACGGGAAGACAACGTAGACCCCAAGCGCACGAGCGGCAGCAGCTTTCACCAGTGGATTCTCACTGTGGTTGAGCCCAAGAAGAATAGTGATGCAGAGGATTTGCTTGTCGCCCTGCCCATCAGCAAAAGGAGAGAAGTCATCAGTCAAACATCACGCAGCCAAACTCATTTTGTTGAAAGGATTTCAGCCCAGGATTAAAATGGTTAAGTTAAAACAAAAACAGAAAATATGGAAGTCTAACAGACTGAAGCTACTGCCAAGGGATTTTAAACAAAGTCACAGTGAGCCACAGTAAAGGCATCATGGCAAACCACATTGGAGGGTTTGTATCCTGGTGTCCAGCAGGGTTGAAGAACCTGGAGCCCAGGGGAACCTCACCCTGAGCCGCACACCCCTGTGCAGCCACAACCTCTCACCCCAGGCCATCCCTTTCACCAGCCTTGAATCACACCCTCCTTGAATACTTTTTGCCAGGCTGGAATGTGTCTGTGGTCCCTGACAATGCAGCATCTTGCTTGCTTGGATGACAGAGAGGTAGAAACCAGCCATCCTTACCAAGGCAACGTTTACACCCATTGCTCCACCTACTTTTTGCCTCTTTCATTCCCACAGGAATACTGACATGTAAAGCTTAGCAACATGCTTACCGGGAGACCACTGAAAGCTTCTGGTAAGATGGAAGAGAGAGCATTGCAAGAGCTGGTCTGAAGTGTTGGATGTTGGGCGTTTTGGAGTGCGCCCAGTAAGGGTCCATTCAGCATTCTAGTCCAGAATGTTACAACCTACAGAGAAAGCAAAAGCCTGGTTGCAGTTATAACCCCTAGGAGTCTTTCAGTAAATTGCTACATAGAATCACAGCACTGGAAGAGATCACTCAGTCAATGCAGGGTTCAATGAGAGCATCCCTAACAGGAGACTGTTCAAGCACTGTCTGTTAAATACATCCAGTGAAAGGGAATCCTCCAGTTCTAGCTGTAAGGAGACTTATACTGAGACTTCACCAAATTCTGCTTCCTTGTAAGTTTCCATCCATTAAATTCTAACCCTGCTGGTTAGAGTAACAGAGAATAAGTCTGTTCCTTCTGTATGGCAGTCACCTTAAACCAGTAGGCATAATATCATGTCTCCCCTTAATCGTCTCTACTCCTGGCTAAAGATACCCAGTTTCTTGCCAACTACTCCTCACAAGAGGTGGTTTCCAGACCCCTCACCCATTCATTTATTGCTAAACAAAGGATCTACATTCAGACACTATTTCAAAAGCTTGAAAAATGGAATCAACCACATGCATATTATACACACCAGGTCGACAGGCACCCGTTGATCTGCAGTGACAGCCTCATCTGACTTGTGCTGCTGTATTATACCGACACCAAGCTCATCCAGGAGCTGACAAAAAAAACCAAACACACACACACAAACAAACACAGAAAATGAATAAACTGAAATACATCCACAAGTGTATGGAACAAAACATCATGCGGCCCCAGGTAACTTTCTTACTGATCTGTCTTATTGACCAATTCCCATTCTCCCCAATTTAGAAAATAAAAAACCTCCAGGGAAAACGACAACAAGGCAGTCACAATATATATGTTGCTGTGGTGTCCTTTAAATGTTGTTTTTCAAGTTATAATATGGAAGCTGCTGTTAGCTTAACTGGATGGCCTTTTCAACTATGGAATTTAAATTGTACAGTGGTGCCTCACAAGACGAAATTAATCCGTTCCGCGAGTCTCTTCGTCTAGCGGTTTTTTCGTCTTGCGAAGCAACCCTATTAGCGGCTTAGCGGATTAGCGCTATTAGCGGTTTAGCGGCTATTAAAGGCTTAGTGGCTTAGCGGCTTAGCTGCTAAAAGGCTATTAGCGGCTTAGCGGCTTAGAAAAAGGGAGGGGAAAGCGGAAAAAAAATCTCAAGACTCGCAAGACATTTTCGTCTTGCGAAGCAAGCCCATAGGGAAATTCGTCCTGCGAAGCGCATCGAAAAACGGAAAACCCTTTCGTCTAGCGGGTTTTCCGTCTTGCGAGGCATTCGTCTTGCGGGGCACCACTGTATAATGCCCTCCACATAGATGCTCTTCTGACAACCACACAATAGTGTTTTACCAGCCAGGTGAAGAATGCTCTTCTGTTCTTACAGGTCTCTTAAACACAATGAGTACAGTCATCTGGTACTTTTAGATGCTTGAACCAAATTATTCCTCTTGCAGGTTTTTAGATTTTAGCTGCTCTTATGATAGGTTCCTCCACAAACACACACCAGTGTTATTTATAAATTGGTGTTGCTGTCTTTATTGCCATTTCTTAAATTTTGATTTGTTATTACATGGGTCTGTAAACTGCTCAAAGAGCTAGGCTGAATATATATATATATATTTATTAAATCTGCATTAGCATACAGCCATAGCAAAATAAGACAATACAAAAAAATGTTGGGGACAAGCAACCAAGCAAAATTCAAAGCGATATTGCTGGCGTAATGACATTTAAAACACCCTAAGACAATAATACAAAGATTTGGTTGCCAGCACCAAAAAACTAGTATGCGGATATAAATAAAGCATAAAATGGCCCCAAAATAGGCTCAGCACATTGAGTTAAAAGGTAATAAAAGAATTAAACAGGTCCAGGACTAGGGCACACTACCCTGTCAGAGTAGCCCTGAGTTTCAGAGCCTGCACTATGAAGATTGCCACCCCACGTGAAATTTGGGGATTTGCGTCCACAAGAAGTGCTTTCAGACAGTCTTCCTTAGATGAAATGGAGGACGGGATCAAGAGGAGGAGCTTAGGTCTTATTGGGTCATAAATAGGGCAGTAGAAAAAGAAATGTATGAAGTCCTCTACTTCATTCATTGTGCATGGACATAGACGCTGAGTAATAGGGGTCTTAGAGTAGGTCCCCTGCAAGAAGGCCGTGGGTATAGAATGAAAACGGGCCATTGTAAACGCTCTTCTCAAATTGGGCTCCGTCAGGTCTATCAAGTAGTTGGCAAGTGATCTTACCACTTTCACTTTAGGGAGCCACATGGAGAGGCGAGCTGAGGTGGACTGTGCCCGGTCCATGGCCTCATCTCTTATAAGAATCCAGTCCCGGATTTTATGTTGGTCCCAAGATGACAACGTGTCGAATTCTGGGAGGGAGTAGCGTACAGTAATAGTCTCCATGGCCTTGGACCATTTGTTGGAGTGAGAACAAGTTAAAAAGGCTTGCCTGGCTAGTAGGGAACCTGGGGCATTGATTAATTTGCAATAAAAACTAATAATTCTAATATGGGCTCTCGCAACAATGGAGGGAGGCCCAGTTCTGTTCTTAACTGAGCAGCAACCGAGCCCTTGGGGAGACCCAGTATCTTTCGTACAAAAGAGTTTTGTAGAATCTCCAGCCGTTGAAGTGTTTTTAAATTCCACCCCCAGATTTCAACCCCATACAGTAACATCGGGAGGACTTTGCTAATAAATGCTTTTCTGATTGGTGGAACCAACTGGCCGCCTTTTGCATAGAAGAATTTCTCCAAGGCTTTGATGGTTCTACGGGCAGCCAGGATGGTCATATTTAGGTGAGCTGACCAGCTAAGCCCATGCTGAAAAGTGATTCCCAAATACTTGAAAGCTGAGCAATATTCAATAGAGTGGCCCTCAAAGTTCCAGAATGACTTCCGAGTTTTCGTGCCAAAAGTAAGAATTTTGGTTTTGGCGAAATTGATTTTGAGGGAATTGGTATCACAATATGTCATGAGCCCTCTGAGCATGTTGTTTAAGCCCTGCTTGGTTAAAGACAGTATCACCATGTCGTCCGCATAGAGTAATATGGGGATCTTGAGCTGTTGTAGAGAGGGGCAGATTGATTTAGGGCCTGCATAGTTGTAACGATGTCGTTGATATAGAAATTGAATAGAAAAGGGGCCAAGAGGCAGCCCTGTTTGACCCCTTTATTCAGAGGGAAAGAATCAGAAAGAGCTCCCAGGGGGCCGAATTTTACTCTGGCCGATATGTCATTATGAATTTCCATAAGAAGAAGGAGGAGTCTCTTATCTATGTTGGTGTAACTAAGCTTCTGCCATAGCCTATCTCTGGGAATGGAGTCAAAAGCGGCGGTCAGGTCCACAAAAGCCGCGTGTAGTTTGCAGTTAAACCTGTTTAGGTATTTATCAATCAGGGTAAATAGAACAAGACATTGGCCAGATGTACTGTGACCTTTACGGAAGCCAGCCTGTTCCGGGTGGAATAGCTTTGTTTCTTCTGCCCACTCGATTAATTTCTCTAGCAAGAATCTAGAGTAAACCTTGTATGATATGTCTAGCAGGCTGATGGGTCGATAGTTACGCGGATCTTGTGGGTCCCCCTTTTTATGTATTGGGATGACTATGCTCTGTTTCCAATTTGGCGGGATCTTAAGAGTGGCATTAATAGTGGTAAAGAGAGATGCAAAAATAGGGGCCCACCACATCTGGTTCAATAAGAATACCTCGGGTGGAATCATATCCTCCCCCGGGGATTTATCCCCTGATAACATGCTAATTAGTTGTACACATCTCTCTGGGGAGACTGGCTCCCAGGTGGGCAAGGGAGATGCAGGAAGAGTGGAAACTGCGTTTACGTCGGAATCTGGGGCAGAATACAGCTGAGCAAAGTGAGAGTGCCAACTGGCTGCTGTGATGTTATTAACGATGAATGAGGGGGGTCTTAAACCTGCATTAATTAAATTCCAGAATTTCTTGTCGTCACGGGTTTTAATGGCCACTGACAATGCCGTCCAGCGTTCTTTCGCAAAGATCAATTTCTTATGTTGGAGCAACTTCTTGTAGTAAGAACGGAATTGGGCTAACTCCCTGATTTTGCTCTGGGTGCTGTCTGATTTCATATCAGACTGAAGAAATCTAAGCCTACTTCTGCACTGTTTGCATTCTTGGTCGAACCAAGTTTGGTTCTTCCAGGTTAGACTCGCACGGGAGGGTTTCGTAAGTGTTGGGAGCAAGTAGGCTAGAATTTGTTGGAAACTTGAGAAATGATTCACATTCATTGTTACCAGCTGAGCTTTCAGGGCTAGGATCTCAGGGGAATTTAGGAGGACTTTTATGTCTTGCTCCAAATAGATATCCCACTTCTTACGACCGGGGGCTAAGGTCAGTGAATCCTGGTGGGGGAGTGAGCTGGGAGCCCCAGCTGTGTGTGGTGGAAGGAGATGGCAATAGGAAGGTGGTCACTTTCGGTTCTGTTGAACACATTGAAACAATATGCCTTATCATTAAGTGCCGAAAAGGACCAGATATAATCTATAACGCTTGCCCCTCTAGATCCTAGAAAAGTATAGTATCCCCCGGACCAGTCTTTGGGTGTACCATGCAAGCTGTGCAGCCCGCAGTTAATGGTAAACTCCAACAGTATGATGCCAGCCCTATTAATGGTCTTGTCATGTGAATTCCACGTAGGAAACCACTCCTCTTCTATGAATAGTTGCGACTTATCGGTGAATGAGCTTATATCTGCTCCGATTCTGGCATTAAAGTCCCCCATTATGAGGATCTCTGACTTTGGGAATTCAGCCACAGATTTATCAAGGATAAATCTTAGATCCTCCCAAAACCGATTTGTATGGGAAGAGGAGTAGGTAGATGGATTGTACAAATTAACACATATGAAGTCCCCAACCGGGCTGTTAGTGATGTGCAAAGTTTGAATACAATTACTCTCTAACCAAAGGAGAGGAGAGATATTAAGATGAAGCTCCTGCGAAACAAATGTTACCAGGCCTCCACTAGGGCGCCCATACAAATGTGTTTTGGTCGCAGGAATCACAAAAGCATCATAGCCCAGTAGGGAAGGGGGGGGTGACGATTCTAAGCACCAGGTCTCTTGTATACCCATAATCTGGAATTTCGCTAAAAACTCTATCATATCCCCGCCATCCTGTTTGGACGTCCATCCCGCCACGTTCCAGGATAGCACATTGAAGCAGTTTGGGGAGGGACTATGTGCTAGTCAGATACTCTGGTTGCTGGTGGAAGAAGCATTGCCAAGGGTCTGAGACCGCGCCAGGCGTGATACAGCCGAAGGTATCGAAGGGGTGGTAATTTGATTGATGTGGCCAGCAGGGTCTTCAATAAAGCCTGAGCTGTCTCTTTGCACAGTGGCTTCCTTAACGTTTATATATTGGCTTGAAGAGGTTACGGATACAAGAGGATCTACCAAGCGAGGTTGACTGACAGAGGACGAGGATATACAGTCATCTGCCTGGACCGCACTGAATGAGGACTCCAGGTCAGGCATGGAAGAATAGGACATTGACAGATTACCTGGATGAATGGTGTTTGGCATATTGCTCTTTAAGGCGAGGGACGAGGTAGTTGATTGCAAATCTATTAGTAGAGGTGAAGAGGATCTGCGTTGCGACGGTGTATGAGGAGCTTCCGCCAGGCAGACTGCCATATCATCCGTTATTGGAGTCCCAGTGATTGGCAGGGGTTTCTGGGGTGTTAGCCCCTTCATGACTGCGTTCCTTTGAATTAATAGGTTGCTATGACCAGGTTTTGAAGAGATTTTCTCTTGAAGTACATGTGTAAGTTGCTGCTTGAGTGTATCAAGCCTGTTTATAACTTCCTGCTGTTCTACTAATGGCAACTCGCCGTAGGATGAAATAAGGTCCCTCTCCTCTGAGGAAGCCAGATGACTGGGTCCGCTTTGGTCATGCTTCTCTGTTGCTGGAGTAGATAAACCAGGAAGCTTGGGCTGAGAGGGAGGGTGAGGTTCCTGGGTGGACGGCTTGAGTTTCAAGACTATGTCGCGCCTGTCTGGCGAGCGGATACCTTTTTGTACGATGCTACGGAAAAGAGGTTTAGTCCTGGTATCATTAAAGACTCTCGTTGGGAAGATGCCCCAGGAGGCCAATAACGCTTTGCGGCTAGGCTGAATATATATGAATTTAATGAACAAAAAAGTGCATTTATCTGGAATCAAAGAAGTTTGGACAGAAGCTATTTTTTACCATACAACACCAACACTGGACAAACTCTACAAGCTCTTACTTTTGCCCCGTGGAGCTGGATGGATGGATCTGTTTCCTCCATGCACTTACAAGCCACTTCACCAAGCTCTAGCAGATAGCTCTGAGAGACTGAGAAATACCCCTTGACAAGTAGGGCTAGGACCTGGAATAGATAAAGATGGAGAGAAGAGCATGTGTCAGATAAACATAGGCAGCTACATTCCTCCAGCAGTGGGAATCCTCTGGATCATGGGCCACTCCTGGTCTGTCAGTAGGGCTGCATCTAAACAGCTATAAAAAACACTCTGAAAACGCTCTGCAAAAAACTGTTTCAAAGTTCACAATGGAAAATTTCATAGTGTTCCGATTTCAGCTCTACACCATCTATTGTCACAGTGTTATAACGCATTTATAACTTTAAAAAAAAAAAACTAATGTAGCTTAGTCCTGGGTCTAATTTGGTCCGCAAGGCCATTTCCCCAAAACCACACCTGCCTGCTTATCAGCTGATGTCACTTGAAATGTCACCTGATGGGCAGGAAGACAGGGATAATACCTGTATTGGCTGTTCTCAATAGGCACAGCCAGAGCACCTTAATGTAATAGCCCCCAATTGAGTAGTTGATAAGTTGGTGCTGAAGCCTGATTCAGGAGGGGGTTTTGCGTGGAAATGCCTACTAAAACAGAGGGAGGAAACTTCATTTTGGCAGCACCTTGCAACCAACTTCCCTGTGACATCAGGTGATCAACAGGTGGGCCAGCATGTGTTTTCCGACTGAGCTATGGTCTTCAATGTGCCAGAGGACTCCCTTGTTTTAACTGTAGGAAGAAGGTGGCTATCATTCTGGCCATCTAGCCTCATTGACTTACCTGCAAGGACTCCAGCCGAACTGGAGAGGGTTCGTATATGCTAGTGGCTGGCAGGCAGCCGGTGTCGCTATCTGAATAGCTGTCTTCCTTGGGCAGCACAACCAGAGAGATGCAGAGATTTAGGAGCCAGCAGGGCTCTGCTGGTTCGTTTCCCACAGCAAGGGGCTCATCTCCTGGAGCTGCTGGGGCTTCTTTGCGCCATTCAGGTACGCCAGAGCATGTAGCTGAATGCGGTATGGCAGAGCGGCCATCACTGAGCCCTGAAGAGCTGGGCAGCTGCAAAAGGCGGCGAACCTCCGGCAAAGGAGCCTGAGCAGATACGATGGCTCCTAGCAGTGTGAGGCTTAACACTCGAACGTTAACATCTAGTAGAAAGAAACAAAGAGCACCTGTGAGGCAGCTACAGTAAGGCCACGGCCAGGCCACTACCTTGTATGCATTGTATACTCTGGCATCATGCTAAGTCTTAAAATGCAGAGATCAGCAACTGGAAGCCCTAGGGCCAAATGTGACTCCCCTTGGCTCGCTGCCAGTTGCCAACCCAAATTGGGGTGGGGGGCGCTCCAATTCGTGGAGCAGAAATATTTGACACCATTCCCCAGGGTTTCCGGCAGCAACTGACAAGTACACCGCTGGGTTACATGCCATAATGCAGCAGTCAGTTTCTCAGAATGGAAGTTTAATACACAGAAGACCATTAACATGCAAGGCTGTGGCACTAACCCACATCCCCAAGGAGAACTGGGACCTGCGCTTACCTTTGTGTCTAAGGTATGGCTTTATCTGGTGCCATACTCTTGTCAGCAGCCCAGGCTTTAGACGGCTGTATGGCGCGTTTGATACCAGATTGGCAAGGCACTGGAAACGTGGAAGGAAAAGAGAAGGTGTTAGCAAGTCACTTAAAAAGTAGACACCATGTATGCTTCTTGTGCATTAGTACCTACAGGAGGACTGTCTTGGGCAAGGACTAGTAGCCGTAATAGGCTTAGTAATCCTTATTTCTGGTTGCCTGTAGATTAGCAACAAGACCATAGCCATCATGGCTAATAGCACTGATTATGAGAATCTGCACAACTGCTGGAGAAACAATGCATGCTGCAAAAAATTACTTTTAAACCCTGCTGGCAAGCAAACTAGTAGAATTGACAACATAAAGGGAATTCCTGCAGGCAAAGGTTTACCTTGATTATTTGGGTGAGCGTCTGGGAAGAGGATTCAGCCACCAAGGCCAGCAGCAGACAGCGGTGGAGCTCTCGGATGCTGGATGCAATGGAAACCGAGAAGGGTGTGAAGGCTCTCCTGTGATCAACTGCATCTTCAGCAATGGAAAGGAACTGCTTGGAGCCTTCCAAGATGGCCGAGAGAACTTGGAGGGCACAGGCCCGTGTCTGGAAGAGGGAGGGATTCATTTCACGGGAAGGACAATAATAGCTCAGTGGTAAGGCAAAGACCCTACAGACAGATGGTCCTGGGTTTGATCCCTACCACCTCCTAGTTAGAAGGAACAGAGATCAGGCAATGGGGAAAGACCCTGGAGAGCCATGGCTGCTCAAAAGTAGACAATGCTGGGCTAGACTGATAAGGAGTCTGACTTGGTATAAAGCAGCTCCCTACAACTTAATAAGGATGATAATAAAATAAGATCGCTTACACATCAAAATGGCTTCTAAGTGGTTTACAAGATCAGTTATGAAATCCATGCACAATTAAAACACACACAAAAACAAGCCTGTTATAAAGTGTTAATAGTTTAAAAAAAAACCTATTAGATTAGGTAAGACTTTCCTTGAAGTTGGGACTTCCCAAACAGGTGGAAGAGCCAGTGGAATGCCAATACTGATGAGGCCTCTCGTAGTTCAGCCACCAGTGAAAAAGCCTACCTCTGTGTTACAACAAGGCACAAGTGCTAGTACCAAAGCTGGGTATTCAAGGGATAAAGAGGACAGGCAGTCTGACATGGAAAGGTTGGATAAACCAAGAATGAAAGTCCACCAGTGAAAGTCTACAGCCGCCAGTCAACTTCTTACCTTTGGAGAAGGATCTTTTAAAGCAATAGTCATCAAGGATGCAGACTGTGGGCTTCCTATTCCAGGCACATCGGGAACAAATGCTGACCAGTAACCATACAGGACTTTCTTCTCTATCGATTTCACAGTGGAAAGGAAGCAAGTTAAAGCCCCTTGACGAACTTTTGCTTGGAAAGACCTTGCACAAAACAAGAGAATACATTTTTAGGTGCACAGAACAGATAATGGATTTAAAAACCTGGATTAGATTTATTTATTTATAAAAAGTATTTATATACCGCTAAATCATAAAAGATATCAAAGTGGTTTACAACATCGAAAAGATAATAACCATACAACAATAGTGTTAAAAATAATCTTAAAGTATACTTTATAGGTTTACACCAACCTTGTTTTACTCTGTATCCCCCCTTCAGCATCAGAATACTCTGAGTCGCTGCTGCTAATTCTTTTCCAGCCCAAAGCACTCAGAGGTACATGGTCATTCCCAAATGACGAGTGTATGTCACTGGAAGCTTGATTCCAGACATCTGAATCAGAATCTTGCAGTGCATCTCCACATAACTTCTGCTTCTCTGGTTTACCTCCTCTGTCACTTTCTGGCTGCCCTTTCAGCTCTTCTTCCAACTTTCCCTTCTTCTGCTTCCCTTTGGGCTTTTTCTTCCTGCTCTGTTGTTTGAGAAGAGAATCATGCACAGAGAGGGGTAATCAGAGTTTTGGTTTTATATAATGAAACAAGAATAATCAGCATCAGCAGCCAGAGTACATCAGCTTCCCCATACCTCTTCAGCACAATTTAAGGTTTTATTCCTGCATGCCTAAGAAAGCATCTTGTCAGAAATGTCATTCATATACAAAATTTGATCACCAATATGTATGTGAGTAATGCTTTTCCTGAGTGCTCAAAGAACTTAACACTTTCCCCCAGAAATCCCAATGACTCTGTAGAGGAGATCAACATTATTAACTCCAGACATAAAGGAAAATATAAAATGCAATGCCAGTTTGAATCTGGCAACAATCTGACTAAACAGTCTAATCTTGGATGCACAAGGAATCAAGGAGAAATAACTGGCTACCAGATTCTGTCTAAACCTACACAAACACACACATTCCCCTGTTACAGAGGAGACACTGTGACCAATAAAAAGTGCTTTGGCTGAGCTCACCCTGTACACTGAGGTGCTATTTGAACCAGAGGCTTCTAGCTCACAGCTCATGTGGTTAACCATCACACAACTTTTTCTGAGGAAAGTCTGCCCCCTTTCAAAGTAGGCAAAACTTTCTTAAAAGGGTAAAACCAGCCTCTTTGCTTATTCCCTTCAAACTCCCCCTCAAGCCTCCTTTGCCAAAACCTGATTCCAAGGCCATACTGAAACACGGCTTGTACTTAAAACAGTCATCTGTACGGAAACAAAAGCATACCCCACCCATTAACCTGCCTCTCCTTCCCCTGAATTCTGTAAACTCTCATGCATTTAGAGATTAATGATTCTAGACAAGCATACAAACCAGGGGAGTGCAGGGCATGTATTTTCACTATTCTCTTTTATAGATGGCCCCCTGCCCTTCCGGTATCTGTCACAAAATGTCATTGCCTAGACATCCTTAAAAAATGGTGAAGCAGAGGCCAGCGAGTGTATGAAAAATGTGCTCAGTCTGTGCGGATGCAGCGTTTGAACTATTTTTAAATGGTAGATTTACACAAATGAAAGATCAATGCAAAAATATGTTTACCCCAGTCATTTTAGCATTTCTCAGGTCTGACTTCTCCTGCTTGTCCGGCGACCTGCTGTCATATTGAGGAAGCAATGCTGGATATAAAACGGCCGGCATTTCTATGTTCAGTCCAGGAAGCCCATGGAACATGCACTTCTAAAATGAGAAACAACACCCCACCCCCCATGAGAATTGCATTATTTGGTGACAGCAAGTCAATACGCAGTGGGTCCCTTCTTGTTTTTGGAAATGTTCTACTTCAGTGGCTCCAGACAAAAGCTACCCTCCTCTTTCTTCAAGGTGTCTCTGGATTCCTGTGTCATCCCTCCTAATTCTTTTGCTAAACATTCCTAAATTCACTTCAGATTTCTCACTATACATTAAAAAAACCGCAGCTTTGCTACTCTAAAATTCCTTGTAGGATTTTTAAAGCATGCCAACCAAATCTATCCATGCAAACTCAGCTGAAAATGCCCAGCTAGAACCTGCCCACATAAGCTGCACTCAAATGTAAAAGAAGATGATGATAAAGAAACCATGATTTATCCTAATGGGAATTAGCCTAACCTCCACCAGAGGCTCACGTGTTCCCTGTCTCTCCTCTGGCACAACCATAGAGAGATCAGGAGCTTTTGCTTTCATTTTAGGTTAGCGAGTTTAGCTCTAAACTGTGGCTAATCTTAACTATGGCTTGTTGAAAAGGTTGCTTTAATCCATGGTTTATAATGGACTTGTTTCAAATGACCATAGATTAAGAAGTTTGCCGATTAAAGTGACACAAATGATGGTTAATAAAAAAATGGAAGTGAGAGTTTCCCAAGTCTTCCTTGCAGCTGCAATAAAGGAGAGAGGACAGGGCAGCATTCAAACCTGGGGGAGCGGGGGGGAGAGGCTCATTTCTGTCCTGATACACCAGACTTCCCCATCTGATGTACTTTGGATGTCGTTGGACTAAAACTCCCAACATCCCAACTGTAGTCTAACAGATCTAGAGAACACCATGTCTGGAAATGCTTCGATACACTATAGTTTTATCATGATATCCAAACCAAGACACAAATTTAGTCCTAGAAAGTGACGGAATTTCAAAAGCAGACTGCAAGAATGGAATACAGGAGGCTGAAAGGCAGGATCTTATTGCTAAGACAAGTATTTGCAGTGCAGATTATGAGAAGCATCATGGCCAGAAAGTTCACCTTCCTCTATGACAAAAGGGATAGAAAAGGGATAGACTTCCATTTTAAACACGTCACCTTTAATACAGCAAGAAGGGAACCGAGATGATCAGTTTGTGTCAACTTCATCTTCCCACCATTTAAGAGTAACTGGATTCCTTTCAAGGCGTTCTGCAACAACTAGAAGACCGGGGGTGGGGGTGGGGGAGAGAACAACAACATTAGCCACTTGGCCCATCAACTTGGCACTGTCTGAAGTCACAATGTTGTAGCACATGATACAATTAGTGTAAAGCATTAAATTTCATCTGCAAATCTTTCCCAAAATCCAGAAAGTATTTCACAGCATCACACCCAAATTTAGTCACAAGCTCAGCATGTGGCTTTGACCAAACAAGAATCTTCGGGCCTATGATACAGGACTGCACATTAAATCAATTTCAAAATGTTATCAGATTGTTCCACTGGCAAGATCTGCAACATTAAAAACAGCAAAGTAAGAGGAGTTGGCCAACTAATTATGAGTTGCAAGCAAACTCATTGGAGAGGGGTATAACTGTGAAACAGAGCATATGCATTCCATTATATGCCATCCCAGTTCCAGTTAAGAGATTTCCTGTACATCAGACAAGGAAAAGACTTCTTTCCGAGAACCCGGAGCATTTTCCAAAACATGACTGCAAGCAAAGCTGATATGCTCCTTCAGCAATAGGTTGACCACAATTTAAGACAACACAATGACTAAGTACAACAATGCAATATCAATATAAACTCTTTATATAATCTATATAAAGAGAACATTGAACAATATGAAAAACCAAATAAACAGAGATCTTATAAATCTCTGAAAGTCACAAAATGTGCACTCTTGATGGATTCTCTTGAAAACATAGAACCAAATAAACATGAGTCTTATAAGTCTCTGAAAGTCTTTGTAGACTAAGCAAGTCTCTGAAAGAAGCAATGGGTCAGATTCTTATCTGATGAAAAGAAGCTGTAAAGCTTTGTTTTATGATGTCCGATGCTGCCGAAGTGGTCTGCAAACAGACATAGTGAACAATGATTCCGGATATACCCACTGTTTTGTAGAATTCTTCTTCAGCACAGCAGGAAGTTATAACTTTATGACCACTGCTCCATAGATATTGTTGTTACACAATTCCATTCACCATATAGATGGGTTTATGAAGCATTTCTGTATCCTTCTGCTGTGCTGAAGAAGAATTCTATTAAACAGTGGGTATATCTTTCAGAGACTTGCATAGTCTACAAAGACTTTCAGAGACTTATAAGACTCATGTTTATTTGGTTCTATGTTTTCAAGAGAATCCATCAAGAGTGCACATTTTGTGACTTTCAGAGATTGATAAGATTTCTGTTTATTTGGTTTTTCATATTGTTCAATGTTCCGTATAGATATATAAAGAGTTTATATTGATATTGCATTGTTGTACTTGGTCATCGTGTTGCCTTGGATATTACTGATAATTGTTTGCAACACAGGTGTTTAATTGTTTGGTTACACAATTTAAGACAGGCACAGAGAATCTTCTTCAGCCCAAGGGCCACTTTCCCACATGCACAACCGTCTGGGAGCCATATGCCAGCAACAGGTGGAGCCAAAACAAAAAGCAGGCATGGACAGAGCAGGTGATGTCAAAAATGGCACAAGCACACCACAAACATACATGTTTACCCTGCTCCAAAGCAATTAGGCTTGGGAAAAGGAATTTTATTGTTAAATAAAAGGGACATTGCTGTAGGGCATTGCTGCATTTTACAGTTGAGGAAACCATCCCCAGAAGTGATCAGGAAAGTTGCTGCTAACCAGTGTGTCTCAGACAAAAGGGCCACATTTGCTTACCATGCAAAAGGTGATGTCATCCACCCCAGATCCTTTTGAAGACTGTAAGACACTAAGAAAAGCCTGAAAGCAGAGCTCTCTGTAAGGTTCCTCCAGACCTGATTGCCCAGGTGTGCTAAAAAACAACAACAAGCAGTTAAAGCCAAATCAGAGCAGGTAAGAACGTCTATTACAGAGAAAAAAGACACCACCAGAGCAGTTTTCCTTACCTGAGGCAGAGATTTGCCATGCTAAGCACTGCGGCCCTCTTAAGCTCGGTGTCGGTCTGAGCAGGGCTGCTGAGTTGCACCAGAAGTCCATTTTCTCCCAGCAAATCCGGAAGATACTAAAAATATAAAATACCAGTCCCCACACTGCTAGATACATGATCCAATTATTATTATTATTCAAATGAAAACGGCTTAATATCTCATAATATCCTGAAGCCAAAACAGACTAATACTCAACTGCATGAAAGATAAAAACAGAACAATGATGAGGGGCCCCAACATGACATCCTCAGACCCCCCCCTTGGCAACTGCTAAGGCTCCTTGGCCCTGCATCATCCTGACACCAGATGACTGATAGGGGAATGGTTCCACCTTGTTCTCAACCCACCTTTTGGCACTTAGATCCCGTGTTGTAGACAGAAGCTGCCAAGGCCTGCAGGATTTCAACATGCGTCCAAGTGCTGCACTGCTTCAGCGCAGAGATAAAATAAGGCAGAAGATATTTCAGACTCTCCTCATCAACTATAACCTGCGATTGTATAAAGAAATTGTTTTAAACCTCTATGACATCTCACCTTTCCTTTTCCTAAACTAAAAAGTTCTAAATGTTTTCTCATATGAGAGTTGTTCCAGCCCCTTGATCTTATTTGTTGCCCTTTTCTGCACCTTTTGCAGCTCTACAATATCCTTTTTGAAGTGAGGAGACCAGAACTGCCCACAGCACCCCAAACATAGTCACATCATAGATTTGTATTGAAAGGAAAGGTATCAAGAATTTATCTAACATGGTGTTTGCCTTTTTCACAGGTGCCGCATAATGAGTCATCATTCTCACACGGTTATTCACTGTGAACCCCAAATCTCAGACCCCATTCATATGAAGTTAGGACTTCTTGTCCCAATGTGCATAACTTTATACTTGCTCAGGAAACTACCTGAGATCAGACTAGTTGTCCACCTAGCCCAATACTGCCTGTTCCAACTGGCAGCAGCTCTCCAGGCTAACCGGCAAAAGCCCCTCTCAATCACCCACTCATGATCCTCCTTATAACTGCAGGTGCTGGAACATATGCCCTACCAGTCACCTAAGGATGCTTCCCATTTCAGAGAACTCGGAATACTGCAATAAATACTGCAGCGCAACAACCATTCAATTCTCTGGTCCCAGAGACAGCTGAGCAAAAACCACGTGGGGGCACGAACACTGCTATGTGTGTGAACGCACTCCTAGCTTCAACTCACACACTGGATCAGAAAGTAGGGGAGGCCGGGGTGGGAGAAATTAATTTTCTTACCGGAAATCTGTTAAGCAAGTGATGAATCAGCTGGCAAACTTTGTTGACAAGATGTTCTTGATTAAGTGGTACAAGCTTGCAAGCCTGAACAAGTAGTTCACAGACATCCTGCAAAGTAAAGCACACTCAAGATTTTTAAATTTTTATTTTTAAAATTGACTTTATATATTGCCCTATACAGTGGTACCTCGGTTTAAGTACTTAATTCGCTCCGGAGGTCCGTTCTTAACCTGAAACTGTTCTTAACCTGAAGCACCACTTTAGCTAATAGGGCCTCCTGCTGCCGCCGCACCGCCGGAGCACGATTTCTGTTCTCACCCTGAAGCAAAGTTCTTAACCTGAAGCACTATTTCTGGGTTAGCAGAGTCTGTAACCTGAAGCGTATGTAACCTGAGGTACCACTGAACCAGGAGGTCTCAGGGCGGTTCTCAGAACAGAACATGCGTTGCCAGCTGGCCTTTCCTCCCAAGGAGCTGACAAACCGACCCCACGTCACCATGTATCCTCACGATACCCTGCGAGGGAGGGTGAGGGAAGAGAGACTGGCCCATCGTAAGTTGCCCAGCCAGCTTCATGGCTCGGGGAGGATTTGAACCCCGGTCTCTCCCATCCGGAACTCTCCGCCCTCCCGCTCCCTCCCTTTATGCGCCCCCGCCCACCTCTACACCCTCCTCCTCTTCCTCAGCCCCCTCACCTCCGGTCTCGGCGCCCCCGGCCCCGCTCCCCCCGGCCCGCAAGTCTCGGAGATGAGCTGGTCGAAGAGCAGGTGGAGCTCAGTGCGGCGGCCGCTGTCGCCTCCCGGGACCTGGCTGGCGTCGCCCCCGAGCCGCAGGGCGCTAAGACGGACGAGGTAGCGCTTCAGGAAGGGCGCGGGTTCAAGCCCCGCCGCTCCCTCTCTTAGCGTTGCGGCCTCGGCCGCCATTTTCCCAGCTCGGCTGCCGGTTGCCACGGCGACGGAGCCGCGCGGCCGGAACTTCCGGTGGAGAATGGAAAAGCCGCCATTAGCCGTGCCCGAGTCTCGGTGGGCGCTGCTCTAGGCTGCGACGTCTCTGTGGTGGAAAGGCCCGCTTGGCCAGGCGTTGGAATTCGCTTCTCTGGGCAGGCGCTGCGTGTCCTCGAGCGCCCCCTGGTTGCAGCTCGGCATTTAGTTCGTAGGACTTAAGCCTGAAAGTAAGCAAGCCGCGAAACTATGACACAGCTGGATATTGCTGGCTGGGGCTGATGTAGTCCAAAATATCCGGAGAGCAGCTCATTGGCAAAGGCTGGCACAGACACTCGATGATACTGGCGGTCGCTGTTTTAAGTGTCTCGGTTTGCGCAGCACGGTTTGCACAGCACTGAGATTTGTAACACAAGCTTCTGTTCTGGAGGATGGGTGGGGAAACACTATGAGCTTCAGATTAATCTCCTTGTATAATCTCCACCATCTCTCTGTTGAGCTTAAATTATTATCCGCTACAGTACATTAAATATTTTTATCCCTTCACCATCCCCCTAAATTGTTGTCTCCCCCTTCCTTTTTTTTTGCTCCTTGCATTTCCCTCTCCCTCCGTGTTAGTCACAGACACACAAATGACTGAAAAAAGCAAAACAAAAAACGCCCGGGTATATTTGCAACCATCTATCTGCCTAAAAGCTGCAATTTTGCCTTCACAACAGTGCTGCTGATCGTTCTCTTTTGCATAATGTGTAAACTCTGGGTGCTTCGTGGCGGCTGTATAAACTTTAAAAACAAAGGCCATGATCCTTGACAAAACGAAGATGTTTTTTCACATGCTTTTGACTCCAGTATGCTCAGTCTTAAAACTCCCCCCAGTGGGTTAAAAATGGGTGCTTCATTTTGGCTGGATCTGCCCTGTTCCCCCCCCAAAAAACGGCAGCAGAAATGCCATACAGCCTATCTCATCATATTTCTGAGAATGAGGGTGGACATGTTTGAGAGGGGGCAGTCCTCTAATTGAAGTTCTGTCCGTCCAAGTATCATTTCAGGACCATGTACCCTAAGAAGGGGTGGGGTGCTGAAGAACATAAGAGGTGTACTGTTCTCATGGTGCCCGGCCAGATGCACCTGGAAAGCCTGGATCTGCCTAACATCACCCTCCCCATTTGAGGTCCTTAGCAATTGTTATTCAGAGGCACACTGTTATGTACTGAAGTTCTCACCCTGGGCCAGCAGGGGGATACTGTGGATAGTTTTCACTCAGGTCCACATATGCAAATAAGGAATTGAAAGTGACGTTCAGTGATTGGATAGTTACAGAAAGTTGTTACTGTTGCCTTGTAGTTGAGCTCTATATAAGCAGGTTGGCTGAACCCTTCAGTTCAGTTCTGTTCTGGCCTGTGAATAAACAAGAGCTGTTTGAAGAATCGCTGTGTCGTCTGATATGTTCACCCACAACTTAACACACACTGCCTCTGACCAGTGGAGGTGCATCACAGCCATTGTGACTAGCATGGACAGCACCAGGACAGGGGGGGGCAGGGGGGAAGCACTCCCCAAACAACGAAGCATGCATCCCCATTTGCCCCCCCCCCCAGTGTTGGACTCACCCGCCAACATTTCTCCTATGAAAATAGGGACGTCCTATTCCATAATAAAATTTTTATTATTTCCAGCCCATCTATTTGACTGAGTTGGCCCGGCCACTCTGGGCGGCTTCCAACATATATAAAATACTTCCTGTTAAGTTGTGGGTGAACATATCAGACGACACAGAGATTCTTCAAACAGCTCTTATTTATTCACAGGCCAGAATAGAACTGAACTGAAGGGTTCAGTCAGCCTGCTTATATAGAGCTCCAGTACAAAGTAACTGTAACAATTTTCTAAAACTATCCAATCACTGAACGTCACTTTCGATCCCTTATTTGCATAACTATCTACAGTATCCCCCTGCTGGCCCAGGGTGAGAACTTCAGTACATAACACTTCCCTATACAGGGCTGCCTTCAGATGTCTTTTAAAGGTTGTATGGTTACTTATCTCCTTGGCTCGGGAGTCGCATAACTCCATACCCTCCAACATTTCTCTGATGGTAGAATAGGGACATCCTAAGGAAAAAGCGGGACCTTCCAGGATCAAATCAGAAACCGGGATGGCTTCTGTAAATCCAGGACTGTCCCTGGAAAATAGGGACACTTGGAGAGTCTGCTGGACTCCTGTCATTAACATATACAGTTACTTCTCTTTCAGAGATCTTAACTTGGAGATCACAACTTGCTCTCCTGGAAATATACTTTGCCCCTTCTTCTGTGTTGCTGCCCCAAAATTTGTTTCTGGTGCCTTATCCTCCATAACCTTTTCTCATCTCCTTTTAAAGCCATCCAAGGACAGTAGGATAACTACACAAGATGAGCCAGGTAACTTTTATGAATGAATGAATGAATGGGAAAGGGACCGTTCATTCATTTTGCACGATTTCTCAGCTGTGACTCAGTGTGGCAAATCACAGCCTTTGTGCTTTGTGTGGGAGCCTTGCATCTTAATGTGGCAATTACCTTTCCAATTAGTGTTTTGTAGTGCAAAAGGGGGCACGGAGGTGTGCATTCGCAAGCCTCTGTGGTGTGATTGCAGCACAGCCATAACAAAGAAATCCTTCCTGCCCTGGGGAGCACCTTTCCTTAGAAAGCGGCATATTAGTTGTTTTGGTTAGTTAAGGCCCTGTAGGACATTTCCTGCTTTAAGGCTGAATGATCACCCCAGGCCCTGCATCTCCACTGCATAGCAGAACACACGCCAGGGGGGAAATAAGGAAGAATGGCATATGGATACAGATAGTTACACATTTCTGAGCAGTGAGAGACTCCAGGAGTTCAAAGAACTCTTTTGGGGTTCGGTTCCTTGGAGTGAAGGTCAGCGGAGACTGTGATGTATTTAGGATATAGGCAACTCCCCATTTAAGCACATTCAAGGCACATGTTTTTTTTTCTGTTTCCTGGATGTTGTCACCAGCTCTGCTCCTGGATTTGATTTCGGTTCAGAAGAGTCCTTCGGTTGAGATACTGCTCCATATCAACAGAATGGCTGCCAGAACCACCACTGTCATCAGCTGAAGATTTAAGAACTGTAACTTTAGGGACTTGTATTTGAGTTTGCTTTCCCCTCCTCCCTCCTATTCCTTTTTCCTCATGTGCGATGTCTTCTTTTCTTTTCTTTTCTTTTAAGATTGCGAGCCTGAGATCAAGAACCGTCTTAGAACTGATATTTTTGGAAGATGCTCTCAGAGTGCTCCTTCAACTCATTTAGTGGTGTAAATGCTGTAGATAGATAAATACATTTCCAGCCTATGCCCTCTCTGGATTTTAGTAGGAACTGTGGCCAACTTTCTCTCTGTTTTACTCCCAAAGAGATCTGTTTTGGGGCCTGAGACTGAAACTGTTAAATTGTGGGTGAACATATCAGACGACACAATGATTCTTCAAACAGCTCTTGTTTATTCACAGGCCAGAACAGAACTGAACTGAAGGGTTCAGTCAGCCTGCTTATATAGAGCTCCAGTACAACGTTACTGTAACAACTTTCTAAAACTATCCAAACACTGAACGTCACTTTCGATCCCTTATTTGCATAACTATCTACAGTATTCCCCTGCTGGCCCAGGGTGAGAACTTCAGTACATAACAGAAACAGTGAGTGGGCTTCTCAGAAAACAACAAGGAAAACACGAAGGCAGGCAGACTCAGGCTGCTTACACACAATACATGTCAAGTACACATCCCTCGTCCAAGGGTGCTGGAAATGATAGTTCCATAAAGGATAAACTACCATTCTCAGGAACCTTTGAGGAGAGTGCTTTAAACATATGGTGCCAATTTGAATTCAGTAATGCCAATCAGATTGGGGTCAGCACTATGGCCAAATCTGTTGTTCCATCTTTTTGATTTAAGCCCTGTATTCCCACCGCTGGAAAATCCTCAGCAAATTATACAAGCATCTCCAGTTACCAAGGGTGGATTTTGGAGTTGTTGCGGGGGTTTTTTATATAGTAAAAAATGCAATTGCAGGCTAAGCACTGCTCACTTTACACAAATGCCTCTGGTACTGCAGCAGACTTCAAAGGACGTATATGTCATTAGAAATTGCGCAGTTCAAAGGGGGGAAAGTGATCTGTGCAGCGCAAGGCAGCTGTCAGGGGAGGCAAAATAGGTCTCTTTCTCTCTCCCTCTCTCGTTTGTGTGTGTGTGTGTGTGTGTGTGTGTGTGTGTGTATCCTCCGCCGCAACGCTTTACTTGCTGAATTTTTCATTCATTTTAAGAATGCCTCTCAGGCCTTGTTAGCAAACCATGTTCCTGTTATTATTCATAAAGGAACATCTTGGGTTTTCGGCGGTTGGGGAGAGATGGCTCATTATCACCACAAAGCAATGGTGCGGCCCTGTATGTGAATGCTTCTGGGAGGGCAGCAACTCTCACTGAGGTAACCCCGCCCTACAATCAACAACAACAATATGCCAAATAACATTCTTACACATTTGGCAGAGAAACATACTATTTCGAGCCAGGGCTGGCCCAGCACATTTTGCTGCCGGAGGCAAAACAGAAAATTCCGCCCCAGCACGGCCTCCCCCTCGCCTTTCTCTGCTGCGTTCCTGTCGCCATGCGCCACCCACCCACCAACAAGCACAGGAGTTCGATCTGCTGCCCCTCCCAGCTGCCCTGAGCCCGTTTGCTGCCTTGTTTTGGCATTATTAGGGCTGCCACCTTTTTCTGGCACGTGCACTCTGCCGAGTGAAACCTTGGGGGAGGCCCCAGCCCCTTCATTAAAAATTTGTCAGGCACCCAACACCCTGCATAGTCAGTGCCTATGCCAGAAATATACTGTATTTTTCGCTCTATAAGACGCACCAGACCACAAGACGCACCTAGTTTTTGGAGAAGGAAAACAAGAAAAAAAATATTCTGAATCTCAGAAGCCAGAACAGCAAGTGGGATCGCTGCGCAGTGAAAGCAGCGATCCCTCTTGCTGTTCTGGCTTCTGGGATAGCTGCGCAGCCTGCATTCGCTCCATAAGACGCACACACATTACCCCTTACTTTTTAGGAGGGAAAAAGTGAGTCTTATAGAGCAAAAAATACGGTATTTCCAACAACTTGTGTGAAGTACTTGAGTACTTGGGTACTTGAACCATGCATAATTGACAAGCGCATGTCTGGATCTCAGATTTCCCACCTGACACCATACCATTTCTAGAACATACCTATGGTGTTTTGATGATGCTGTGTGAAATGTATTATGGGAAATCGTGGGAACTCCTCAGAATCCATATGCCCTTTGTTTTGGGTTTTCCCCCCCTTGTTTTGCTTGGAACCTTGCTGCAGCGATAAATGATCAGGCTTCCTAGCCACTGTTCAAGCTAGAAGATGAGGTCTTCTTGCTTGAACCGGACAGATTCTGAACCCACAGGGCAAGATCGTAGCGAAGCTGGGAAATGATTTAAGTAAAATTAATAATAATAATAATAATAATAATAATAATTATTATTTATTTATTCCCCAGCCACTCTGGGCGGCTCCCAACAGATTAAAAACAGAATAAAACATCAAATATTAAAACTTCCCTAAACCGTACCCCAATATTGTCCCTTTCATAAGGTACTTCCTTTGCCAAAAGCGAAAAACCAAAAAAGACTCAACACCAAAGATTAAAAATGGGATAATTAGTAGAAAGTCCTTGGGCACTTTCTGCATGTTAATACATGCAGTCTATTTTGAATAAATTGCAAACTTGTGGGTGCAGTATGGAGAACTGAACTGAACTTCAGTTGCCAGCCTGAGGTTGGAACAATGAGAATAGGGGAGAAATAGAAACTGGTGGATTCACAGATCGCTAGAAAATGGGGAAAGGATGCTGGGTGTTATGGGCCACGGTTTAGAGGAGGACGTGGCACCCAACCACTGCTGATCTGACACCAGACTTTTGGGTGGGAAGGTTAAATGTCACACCCTGGGCACCCACAGTTGTGGGGCCGTGCCTGCTTCCTTGTATATAATGCTGTTTTTTAAAGTTTAAATTCTAGAGAGCCTTGGCAGGAAGGTGGCATTTAATCCAATAAATCAAATAAATAAATATCCACACTTTACACTAACGGATGAATTTTACACACATTGCTTGGCTGGAGAATTGCACCGAAACATTTGCAAAAGCACCTTTTCAAGGTTGACTGTGTTTCAATTCAGACATTGTTTTGGAAAAGATGTGCTAGGTAGATTTGCCTTTAAAGGCAAACTGAACCAAATTTCTCCCCATCCTTAATCATCTTGCTGGCCGAGGGCTGAAAGGACGCGTTCCTGCTCACTTTCCCGTTATTCGAGTAAGACTTTGTCCGCTGCTCATTCCGCACTAAAGCCTCTTTCCACCTGACAAAGGGGGGCAGTGATTAGAAAGCCAAACATAAAATAAAAATAAATCATAGTTGCCATGGTACAGGTGATCATGACCGCCTGAAAAGGTTTCCTTCGCAAGCAGAGCAGCCTAGGTGACTAACGAGTATATTATAAAGGAAGCTTTAGGGCAGGGACAGCCAACAAGGGTCCTGCCAAATGTCATCGTACTACAACTCCCATCATGCTTCTCCATTGGCCATGCTGGCAGCAAAGGTGTCTCTTTGGAGTTCAGGGGAGTAGGTGCAGGCTCTCTAAAGACTGCAGCTCCACGTGATACGGACCAGAGAAGGGATATATTTCCTCCTCGGGGCAATAGGTTAGCAGCACAGCATCTGCCTTGAAAGCAGAAGGTCGCAGGTTCAATCCCTGGCATCTCCAGGTAAGGCTGCTTTCCTTCCTGAAACCCTGGAGAGCTGCTGTCAATCAGTGTAGAAAACACTGAACTACATGGATCAATGAGTCTGAGTCAGCATAAGGCAGTTTGCGTTCTCATGAGGTCTCTCCTTCCAAGGATTCCTCGGACGTTCCAAATGTTGTTGGACTGAAGCTCCCCTCATGCTGCCTGGGGTGGTATACAAATTTAATAAAATCATTTTAAAACCACAAATTCTTAGGTAAATGATTTTATTCTCATTTTATTATTAGGATTCGTTTTTGGATATCTTTTTTTTTGTAAAAAAAATATAATGCACTTACTACTTTTCTAATAAACTGTCTTACATTTTAGAAGGAAAAGCACTTTGTCAATACAGTACTAAAGCTGTGTTGCAATGTTTGCAGTCTGCCACTAGGTGTCACTATAGGTCTTAGTTGCACAACTAATACAGCAAGCAATGCCTTTTTATTTAAAAAAACAAACAAACAAGCAGGGAGACAATCATCACTTGTAAACAGCTAAGTCTGGGATGCTCAATTTAAATTCCCCACAATGCCCTAGGACTATGCTGCATCAAATTAGGACATTGTTGAAAATTTAAAATGATGGGTCATTTCCCAGACTCAGCCACAGGTGCTACTTAACCTTACTGCTAGGACAACAGATAGCACTGGTGAGCCCCACAAGGACATTTTGACCCCTGGAACCTGCCAGAGGGCTCTGGTGCTGATACTGTCTGGCGATTCTAGAAAGAAAACTGCCTTAGCAACTGCCCAAACCTTTTTAGCATACTTGAAGTCATTGGTTGCTCAATGGCAGAAAAATAAACCTATTTTGCTCCTTTACCAAGAGAAAGAAGAAAACTAAATTTGCATTTCCTAACCTATATATCAGCAGGCTACACAGAGATGCAATATTCTCTCCCTCCCTCACCCCCCATCTAAGCAATTTAGCTGCAAATCTCTGCCACCCAACTCGATAAAAGAGCACTCACCATTTTTCACTCTCCGCGCATACTAAAAATCTGAAATAATCATGGCAATTAGAGATAATTACAGTTATTTTGAAATAGGAATTCGAGTTGGATTCCAACTCGGCATCCAAGAGAGAGAGAAAGGGGAGGGAAAAAAGAAAAGGAAGGGGGAAGAAAACCTGAGAAGTGCTGCCCCATTTATCATGCAAACCACTCACTCCTTTAGTTGATGATTTGCCAGATCTTTCTGTTTAAGGATTCTCTGTATAAATTACTGGATGAGAGACAAGTGCAGCAGAAGCTGGCTGCCTGCTGTTGCTTAGCATAGCATGCGGGTTAGTTCTGCAAAAAAGAAAAAGAAGCTTGGATTTAAAAATGCAGAGTCATAGAATGGTGCTTGCCACCTCTCATCGCAGCTGCATGCACCTTGTATTAATGTGTTATTTACTAAAGGAAGGGGGAAAGGAAAAGCTCTGCCATATGCTTGCCTTTCACTAAAGCAATACGAAAGGACTGTATGCAATCAGCACACAAACACAAAAATATTGAAAGCCTGGGCAAGAGTACCCAAAAAGACTGTGGGCGCTGTCTTAAATGTGCGCACATCACAAATCTATTGTTGGAAGATTGGCTGCAACTCAGTTTGCCGGAGGAGGTTTTTTGCACGAGTTAAGGCAGATAAAGTTAGGGACCTCCAGATTCCCAGACTAAACCCCGCATCTTTAACCTCTTGAGCTAGCCTCAGCCTGGCAAAACCCAGCCAGATGGGCGGGGTAAAAATAATAAAACTATTATTATTATTATTATTACTATTATTAGCCTCGCTGTCTCTCCCATGTTAAACAGATGTTCTCATATTGTGCTCTGCTTACAAGCCACACCTCCTTCTCATACTTCTCTCTGCCTTGTTCTTCTCTAGACTGGAGCATAGCTCTCAACTTTCAGATTTGAAAATAAGGGATCAGCAGCCTCACCTGTCCCGGGGACAGTCTACGAGATATCTAACAATCCAGGATAGCAGTGGGAAGCAGTGCTGGAATAAGGGAATTTCCCGCCAAAAAAGGGAAGGTTGACAGCTATGGACTAGAGCAAAAACACATCCCTACAGTACGTATTTCCTGCAATAAATACAGTGCCAGATTTACTGAGGTGCAAGCGGTTCCCATGAATCGGGCGCCAAACCGATGGGTGCAAAATTGAGAAGCTCCATAATTGAGAAGATCCATTTGGGGGCGCCAAATTTTGGGCACACTCAGGGCACCATATTACGAAGGATTCCCAAAGTCCGTGCCTGATAAGCAACTTCTTTATTTTCTTGCCTGCAATCACCTGTGTTGTGTGATTGCAACAGGTAAAGTCTACTTTCAAACTGAGATTCACTAGTTTAAACGCTGGCCACTCCGCACACAGGTTTCAATAGGTAATAGGCTATGTTATCCTATTGCATATGGAGATCCATGTTGGCCTTAGCACTCTCTTTCCAGCCAGGCTTTGGAGCGTTTGCAAGCTGGATCATGGCGAGGGGTAGAATTCTATTGCACTGTCATTAACCAATGGCAAGGGCAGGGAAAATGTGGCACAGTCCAGACATTAGGACTACAACTCCCATCATCCTTAACCATTGGCCATGCTGATAGGGGGTGAACTCCAACAACATCTCGAGGGCCACAGGTTCCTGATCCCTGAATGATGGGATCATAGAATCGTTGAGTTGGAAGGGACCCCGAGGGTCATCTAGTCCAACCCCCTGCAATGCAGGAATCTTTTGCCCAACGTGGGGCTCGAACCCACAGCCCTGAGATTAAGAGTCTCATGCTCTACCAACTGAGCTACCAAGGATGGTTGCTTTTTCATACAAAGAAGAAGAAGAAACACCTCCAAACGTATCTCATGAAAGCCTTTAATTAAGGTAAATTGGCTTGTCAGGAGGAGGAAGAGGAAAACAGTTCCTCTCCAATTTTTTTAATTATTTTTTTTGCTGTAATTGACTGGTAATATTGTTTGCTAGGTTTTGTAATAACTCATCTAGTTGGCATAATAATAATGCCCTCACATGCACACGTCTAAAACATTGCAGTTGCTATATTTAACATTCTTACCACAGTCCCTACTTGCTTATAATAAGGAAATCTGGTAGTTAAGAACAGAAGAATTTCCTCGCTGAGTCAGACTTTGGTCCATCTCATTCGGCATCCTGTTTCCAAAATACTGTATTTTTTGCTCTATAGGACTCACTTTTCCCCTCCTAAAAAGTAAGGGGAAATGTGTGTGCGTCTTATGGAGCAAATGCAGGCTGCGCAGCTATCCCAGAAGCCAGAACAGTGAGAGGGATTGCTGCTTTCACTGCGCAGTGATCCCTCTTGCTATTCTGGCTTCTGAGATTCAGAATATTTTTTTCCTTGTTTTCCTCCTCCAAAAACTAGGTGCGTCTTGTGGTCTGGTGCGTCTTATAGAGCGAAAAATACAGTAGGTTTCCTCCTGGTGGAATAATAGCCTAGAGACCCCATACATCCTCCAAGGAGGGACACTTGCCTTCCCCTGGAAAATCATTCAGAGTGCGATACGAGTCTTCTGGATCAGGCCAATGGCCCATCTAGTCCAACTAGGTATCCCTACAGTGGCCAACCAGATGATTATGGGAAGCCCCAAAGCAACAGTATTCTCCCAACCTGTGATTCCCAGCAACTCATATTCAGAAGTATCATTGCCTCCGCCCACCACTGGGGTCCAGGTCCTGACAGATGAGCCCAGTCTCACAGCCACAACATGCACTTGAAAAAGCACTAATACCAAGTGTTTGTTAAGGGCTGCCGCCTCAGAGGGTTGCAGTTCACGGCACCCTTAACGAACTGCGGCTCTTCTCCCTTACCAGTCACAATGGGCAACAGTCATCGCTGTCAAACTGACATTTCTAAGATGTCTGCAGGAGTCTGTGTGTGTGTGTGTGTGTGTGCGCGCGCGTGCGCGCACATCACTGAAAGCTCTGCTCTCCCTGCTGAACGCTGCACTCCTTTGCTCTGCAGGAACCTGCCCTCCCCTGATTTAAAGAGCCAAGAGGGTGCTTGTTCTTTGGGTCTAAAAATAGACAGGGGAAACATAATTGCCCTATTGTATACTATTGACAGATCAAAACCAGCCCTCTCCCTTCAGCTGGTGGCTTGTGCAACCATTTAGAACAGGAGTAGGCAAACTAAGGCCCGGGGGCCAGATCCGGCCCAATCGCCTTCTAAATCCAGACCACGGACGGTCTGGGAATCAGTGTGTTTTTACATGAGTAGAATGTGTCCTTTTATTTAAAATACATCTCTGGGTTATTTGTGGGGCCTGCCTGGTATTTTTATATGAGTAGAATGTGTGCTTTTATTAAAAATGCATCTCTAGGTTATTTGTGGGGCATAGGAATTCGTTCATATTTTTTTTTTTCAAAATATAGGCTGGCCCCCCACGAGGTCTGAGGGACAGTGGATCGGCCCCCTGTTGAAAAAGTTGGCTGACCCCTGATTTAGAAGCAAATGCAGACTCTGGAAACATAAAGCATCCTTCACATGCTCAGAGATTTAACATCAATAAATTTTGAGGAAGGAGCCCCACCTTAGAGGATCGGTGTAGTATGCTAGTTGAAAGACTAGGCTGCCAATCGGAGAGCACATCTACACCTTACATGCAAAGCAGGAGTGGGGAACCTTTGGTCCTCCAGGTGTTGCCAAACTACAACTCCCAACAGCCTCAGCAAGCAAGGCCAATGGCCAGGGAAGATGGGACTTGCAGTTTGGAAGCACCTGGAGGGCTCAAGGTTGCTGGCACCTGATTTAAAACACTCTTAAGCCACTCTAATGGTCCTGGCTTTCACCACCAAAGTATCCTGGGAACTGTAGTTGGTTAAGGGTGCTGAGATTGGGAGCTCTGTGACAAACTAACTACAGTTCCCAGGATTCCGTAGGGGGAGCTGTGACTGTTAAAGTGGTATAAGAGTGTTTTAAATGTACAGAGTTGTACGCAGCAAAATTTTATGCAGTGTAGAGTCATTGAAATTAATGGACCCGGGTGATATCACTGGGGCTTCGCCCTACAACATCACCAGTGGGGCTTACCCCTATGTCTCAGGTTTGTGCCCTGAAATCTTAAGCTCTGGGATGCTCTTTACCTGGCACCCCTACTCATTAAATAATATGAGATAGCATTAATCTGGTTTCTATTAATATTGGGTCTGATGTAATGTTAACACTGGGAATCTTTTAAAGCACTTTGTGGTTTTGCTTCATTTTCCTATTTTTTTCTATAATGCTTTCATAAACTCCATTATGCAGCTACCCCTTTTTTTCACCTGTATCATTATACACCGTGTTTTTGACTATTCTGGATGTGTCTTAGAGGCTAGAGTTAAAATTCCTTCTCCTTTTAGCAGTGCATATTCATTTGGTCAAGAACGCAGCAGGCTGCTGGGTACAATTCTACACGTCCTTCCCTCCCCCCCTGCTGCACTGATGCCACATAGGTGGTGGCAAATGCAGCATGCATTTCAGGCACGCAATTCCCACCCTGCAACCCCAAAGAATCCTGGGAATTGTCATTCGCTAAGGATTCTGGGAACTGTAGCTCTAGAGGGGATAAACTGCAAATCCCAGGATGCTTTGAGGAAAGTCATGTGCTTTGAATGTGGGTGGCAGTCTTGTTATTTGGCAACGTTCTATTTTCCGCTTGTATCAGTTATCTACTTCAGTAGAGGAACGCATTCCGTTATTGATTTAATCTTGCACTGGTTGATGCAAACTTCCAAAATATTAGCAGAAATTTCTTTTGTGAGGTGGGGAGGCCTAGCCCAAAGGCAGAGGAGGTGCTTGGCATGCAGAAGGGCCCAGGATCAACCCCTAGCATCTCTCGTATTAAAGCGGGCCTGAGGAACCTTTGGTCTTCCAGCTGTTGCTGAACTACAACTCCCATCGTCCCCCAGCCACTGGCTCTGCTTGCTGGGCCTGGTGGCAGCTGTCATTCAACAACATCTGGGGAGCAAAGGTTCCCCGCACCTGTGTTGAAAGGATTCGGTAATAGATCAGCTGTGAGGAGCCTTTGGCCCTTCTCCTGTTGGCAAACTCCAGCTGCCATCAACCACACCAGGATGACCATGGAAGATAGGAGTTGTAGTTCAGCAGCGTTTGGAGGGCCACAGATTCCCCACACCTGATGTAGAAGGCGATGGCAAAGACTCCTCCCTGCTCCAGACTCTTGAGAGCCACCAGCAGAGTTGGCAGTGCTGGACTAGAGGGATAAATAGCCTGACCTGGTAGTACAGGACAACTCTCAGTGCAGCCGAGAGGCTAGTTCTTTACATGTAGGGAATATTGTTATTTGGAGGAGGATTCAGCCTCGTGAGCTAAAGTGGCACAGGCCAGACACAGGTTAACTGACAACTCACTGGGCATCATCCAGGTGTGCTCTCCGTGTCCTTGTGCCTGATTATCCCATGCTGTGTCCAACTCACTGTTATTTAATATTTAACAATAACATATTAACATTGTTATTAGCAGTAATAATACGCTTTCCAATTCACAGAATCATATACCCATTGAATTGTACCGTTGGAAGGGATCCCAAGGATCATTTAGTCCAACCCTCTGCAATGCAGGAATCATAGCTAAGGAATTCCCGACAGCTGACCCCCCAATCCCTGTTTTAAAATCTCCAATGAAGGAGAGATCCTACCACTTTCCAAGGCAGTTCCTCCCCCTGTTAAACAGCACTTACCACCAGAAAGTTCTTCCTAATGTTTTGTCGGAATCTCCTTTCTCACCATTTGAATCCATTGGCTTGCTCCATCATCCATGTGACAGCCCTTCAGATATTTGAAGATACCCGATTCAGCTAAAGTATTTTCATTATTACTGCCTTTGTATCTCACCATTCCTCCAAGGCGCTCAAGCGAGTATACATGTCTCTCCTCCCCATTTTTATTATTCTTAATTTTATTTATTTACTAAATTTGTATACCATCCTTCACCAGAAGAACACAGGGGGTTCACAATGTAGAAATGCAAAACGAGAACTTGTTGTTGTTTAGTCGTTTAGTCATATCTGACTCTTCGTGACCCCATGGACCAGAGCACGCCAGGCACTCCTGTCTTCCACTGCCTCCCGCAGTTTGGTCAAACTCATGCTGGTAGCTTCGAGAACACTGTCCAACCATCTCGTCCTCTTCTCCTTGTGCCCTCCATCTTTCCCAACATCAGGGTCTTTTCCAGGGAGTCTTCTCTTCTCATGAGGTGGCCAAAGTATTGGAGCCTCAGCTTCACGATCTGTCCTTCCAGTGAGCACTCAGGGCTGATTTCCTTCAGAATGGAGAGGTTTGATCTTCTTGCAGTCCATGGGACTCTCAAGAGTCTCCTCCAGCACCATAATTCAAAAGCATCCATTATTCGGTGATCAGCCTTCTTTATGGTCCAGCTCTCACTTCCATACATCACAACTGGGAAAACCATAGCTTTAAATATACGGACCAAACCACCTCAAAACAACCAGGTAAGGTAGTAGGTCTTTCTGATTCAACTACAGTCAATGTTTTCCAGGCTTTTTGACTTCTGCAAATCCTTTCTGCATCGGCTCAGTGTCCAAGGATTGTGGGGTGCTTGGCAAGGAACACCTGCTCAACACTTGTGGCAGGCTGCCCTAACCTTTACCTGCCCCATCCCCATAAACTGACATATGTCAGTTTCAAAACAGCAGTCTAACACTCCCCTACAGCAACACAGATTGGTAGGAGTTGCAGGCAAGCTGCCTCCTGGGGGGGATCTATTCGATTATTGATCAACAACCGTTACTGAGGAACAGACTTTGAGCAAACGAAAAAGGCCTGTCTGCTGGATGATGCCCAAAGGCCCATGTAGCATCCTCTTCACTCACAGTGACCAATCAGATGCCTCAACGAGAGGCTCGCAAGCAGCACCTGAGCTCAACACCTGAGCTCTTCCCACCTGAGACTGCCTTACCCATTGTGGCTAGTAGCCACCTACGGCCCTTGCCTCCAATTGGAGTGTTAAAGTAGCCCAGGGTGTTGTGGACTCAACTTGCCTCATTATCATTGCAGACTCTCCATATCAAACAAAATACTTCAAAAATCAAAGCTGTTTCATATGGAAAGCAGACTCCAGAACGCCTCATATTCCCCCCCCCATAATTTTTTAAAATAAAAAACCTTCATATTTTAGCCTGGTTGCATAACCCTGAATGATGGTATGTAAGAAGCAACCTTTTGGTGCAACAGTTTGAGTACTTCCCCGCTGCCCTCCATAATCTGCAGGGTCCTCCTACCTGCTCCTTGTATTAGAACTGCTAAGGCCTGTTATACCCCTCATTTAAATTTTTATTTGATTTGTGCCCCTTGGGGGTAAAAGGGAAGGTGAACTACCTTTGCTTTTATTGCTTGGCTGAAACACATTAAAAAGTTCTACCACACACAGACCCCAAATTCTGCAGCCTGAAAAAAATTGAATTCTGAAGCAGGTGTTGTGTAAATCTGCATGTAATTGCATATCACACTTCAAACAGCCTCTCCTCACGTTGGCCAAAAGAATTATTAAAAAACTGAATGCTTTCCCAACCTGTAATTCTCTACCTGAAGTGTGAATGAAAACCAGCTAGAACCCATTTAGCTTCCTAAATTCTACTGCATCCAGGGGTCTCTACAGCATCTCCTCTTCCCATTGAGATGTGCCTTCTTTTGTAGAAGCATTTAGGAGGGGAAGGCAACCCAACCACAAACTTGCTTTAATATAGTTAATTCTGAATATTTCTATTGCCACAATGAGGACTAATTTTGCTAACACCAGATGCAGTATCAAGCTATCTGACCCTAAGATATCCCAGTCAGAAGAAAAGCACTTTTATCCTTAAATGACTTCTCTCCTGCCTTTCAGGAACAGATTCTGAACTTTTGCAAATGGCCAACAACAGTGCTCCTCTAGAAGTACACAGGGGTTTCGGAAGGCTGAGATCTCCCTCAGGAGACAGTGTTGGGTAGTGGTTAGTGTGCTGGAGGCCAGGGCTCAAATCCCTACCGAGCCGTGAAACTCACTGGGTGACCTTGGGCCACTCGCAATAACCCCCTCAGCCTTACCTGCTCCACAGGGTTGTTGTGAGAATAAAATGGGGAGGGAGTTCCTTAGAGGAAAGGTGGGATGTGAGTGAGTTATAAATAATACCCCGCCCCTCAAAAGTAACTCAAGTTGCACTCTGCATAGAAATTAGACAGTGTTGACCATGTACACACTCTAAGTTAAGAACATATCTTAGGTAAAGGTAAAGGGACCCCTGACCATTAAGTCCAGTCATGGCCAACTCTGGTGTTGCGGCGCTCATCTCACTTTATTGGCCGAGGGAGCCGGTGTACAGCTTCCGGGTCATGTGGCCAGCATGACAAAGCCGCTTCTGGCGAACCAGAGCAGCGCACGGAAATGCCGTTTATCTTCCCGCCGGAACGGTACCTATTTATCTACTTGCACTTTGACGTGCTTTCGAACTGCTAGGTTGGCAGGAGCTGGGACTGAAGAATAGGAGCTCACCCCGTCGCGGGGATTCGAACCACCGACCTTCTGATCAGCAAGTCCTAGGCTCTGTTGTTTGCGCCACCCGCATCCCTTAAGAACATATCTTTCACCCCCAAATCCTGGGAACTGTAGTTTACCCCTACAATTCCTAACACACTTAACTACAGCTCCCAGGATTCACTTTAAATGCCTGGTGTGTATGCAGTCTACATGTCTGAGTATCTATCGCCTACACAGCCCCATTTTACCCTTGGAGAGTGCCAGGGTAAGGTGCAAAACGCATCCCACAATCCCTTGCACTCTAGCCTCTCATCAGTCTCAAGTATTAAAACAAACAAACTGGACACTGTTCTTAAATGTGCCAATTCCTGCTCTCTCTGTGTGTTTTAATGTTTTTGAAAAAGAAATGTTTCATTTCAAGCAACTGCCCTTAGGAAGGAAACTTTTTTTTTTGCACTCCATGAAGTATCAACATATTCCCAAGTTAAGACTCATGCAGGCTGGGACAGTGGGAAACTTCCTTTTCTGGAGAGCGAATTTTCTGTGTGAGCATGACTGTTGAAGCACCTCACTTTAACCCAAGGCAATTCCTCTTCCGCCCCCTGACATCTTTAGATGGGAGATACAAGTTATAATCAAATTCAAGAGCTACATCCACCTCCTGTGGTGTGTGTTTTTTTTGGAGGAAGGGGGTGTTAACAAGCTGGTTCTAACAAAACTCTGCGTGATACTTTTAGGCATACTTTGGATTGTCGCACAGACACCACAAACGTGTTTTTCAGAGACAGTCTGGGTCACCCTTGTTTATTTTTTCACAGCCAAAAGGGAGAAAAAGTTATTGACATGCTTTCCTTCCCGCCAAATCCCAGGTTATACAAGCACAGATGAATCCCCATCTCCTTATGATCTAAGCTCTGGAGTTCCAACTCCTTAGGTGATTTTTGAGGAGTGGGGAGGTCGGAGTGGTTCCTTCCCCACCTAATTTGTAGACTTCTTAACTGCAAAAAGCAACTAGATGTTTCGGCTAAAGCACTTCCAAGGAATGATCTTGCAAAAGAAAAACAGAGAAGGACCCCTGGAGCAATTGGACACCTTTGCTATAGAACTGAAATAATACAATCTGCTTCTCAAAATGCAGCTAACTGTTGAGAAGGTGGGGTGAGGGAGACACAAAACGATCGGGAAAGGGCTTCTGTACATCAGCCACCATGTTGGGAGTTATGTGGAGATTGAGTATCTCCAAGTAAAAGCAGAGGCAGACTACAAGCACAGCCAACACGGAGCCACCGATTTGGAACAGGATCTTCCCACACAAACAAGTGACTGGAAGCGAGGTGGCAAATAAGGCAAGGCTGACTCAAACTGGGATGAGGAGAGGCCTGGTCACAGTTTTCTTGCATCATGAAGACACATGGCTGGGCCACATGCCCAGCCAATACTCCAGCACAAAAATATGAGGCAGCTCCCTTTGAAATGGCTTTCTGGGGGTGGGGGTGCAATAATGTATTTCGGACCAGGACAACTCACTTCAGAAATACGGCACTTAAAATTCCATTTTACAGCTAAATACTAGCTGTCACCCATTTTTACTGTCAAATATTAGGCATGTTAGAGAGACGGTTTTGGATCAAGAAGAAACAAAGAAGACCACCTTTTTTCCCTTTTACAGCCAAGGCAACTTAAAAAGGAGAACAATGCACTCTTTGGGGACAGAAAAGCTGGCTGGATTTTTTTTTTTTTAAGAAACAAAACAAAACAAAACATTGAGTACCTCATTTCAAGCCAGATTCTGACCCTTAATTGCCACCTTTCTTGAGGTCTGCTTACAGCCAGCTTCTGAACCTTTCAAAAGGAATTTAAAAACCAAAGGATTTCTTTAATGGAATTTTAGAGATTCTCTTTTTATTTCATTTCTCCTTCCCGCTTAAAGGCCATTTGTTGAAGCATTTTTAATTTTTATTTTTTCTCCTAGTGCAAAAGAAAATTAAAAAGAAAAAGAAAAAGAGCAGAAACCGAAAACAAGAAACATGAAAAAGATGCTGCTGCCTTACTTCTCCCAGGCAACCAAAAACAAAAACAAAACGAACAGAATTTTAGGTGGTGTTTTTACTGCAACATATACACATTAAATATAGTTTACAGTCCATGCAGCGGCGCAACCATGGTTGAAGGGTTCCTGGGCCCCCGCCTTCAGTGCACTACAGTCCATGTTCCTCGCCCGCCGTCATCGCGCCCCCCCCTCCACTGCCGTCTGCCTGCCTCCTAGCCCGACTTGAAGAGGAGAATTGCAACCTGGCCCAAATAGAAATAAATGAAATGCTTCGTCTCGTGCGTTACGTAGCTGCCGAAATTCCTGCCCACGATGCAATGCCAAGTGGGGTTGTATTTCTTGTCAAATTCCTGAATGGGGAGGGGGAGAGGGGAGACGGAGAGAGAAGGGGGGAGAGAGAGAAGAGAGAGGAAGTTATTGAAATGCAACAGCATCAAAAGGAGGCAGATCTGTGCCCCAAGGAGATTACAATCTGAACATCTGATACAGGAATCAGGAAGGGACTTTCGGAGTCCAGAGGCCCTCAGCCAGAGCCTGCCTTGGCCAAACCCTTGCGCTAGGCCGATCCTCACACACACCTGCTCCTGGGCAACCCCTGAATTGTTTCCTTTAGCTTAGGGGATAAGATGGTAGTTTCTGCAGTAGATCAATATAGTTCTGGAGTCCAACCCACCCGGAGACCAGCTTGAGACATATTGATAGCCCTAACAGCTACGTCGAAGAGGTGCCTCCCATAATGCTTTGCAGTGTTGTGCAGAACACAGTTAGGCAACTCATCCCCAAGCGGCGCGTGGCTTTGTCAGTCAGTATCTTCCAAATATATAGCACCAGCCACAGAAGGTCGCAGGTTCAATCCCCAGGTAGGGTTGGGGTAGACTCCCTGTACAAAACCCCACTGCCAGTCAGTGTAGACAGTACTGAGTTAGGTAGCCGAATGGGTCAGTATAAGGTCGCTTCCAATCAGGACCGAAAGCCATGGGGGCAGGACCTTGGAGAGCAGGGTTCAAATCCCCACTCAGCCATGAAGCTCATTGGGTGACCTTGGGCCGGTCACAGACACTCAGCCTAACCTGCCCCACAGGGCTGTTGTGGGGATTATATGAGGAAGGTGAAATCCACGTACGCCACCTTGAGTTCCTTGGAGAAATAAGTGGGATATAAATGCGATGAACAAAGCCTTTTGGTTATAAATTTCATGGAATTGTAGCGTTAGAAGGGACTGCAAGGGTCATCTAATTCAACCCCCTGCGATGCAGGAATATTGAGTGCAGAGGGTAGCAGTAACTCTTCCAAAAAACTGGCATTCAGAGGCCTCCTTCCTCTGACAGTGGAGAGAGATACTATCTAGAACAGAACATTTTTATCAAGGCAGAAGCAGTGTAAAGTGTCACAGGCCTCCTGAATGCCTATTTTTAAAGGCAGGTTTCCCCCTGCTCACGGGAGACATTGCAGTGTTTTATTATTTACCATTTTACTGTATTTTCTTATTCATGGATTTTGTTTTCATTGGTTTCTGTGTATTTCTGGCTAGTGGTGGGGCGGGGAGATAAACTTACTGGTGTTTTATGTGAATTGCTGACTGATTCTGCATATTAAGCCAGATATAATATTAATACTGTACGCTGAAATAAAAAGGCAGCCTTGACTTTTGCCACACCCTTGCCTGGCTGTTCTGTGACAGGCAGACAGCCAAGCCAGCCACATGGAGTCCATTAGCACACGTACCCAGTCAAGGGCTTTATTTTAAAGAGGTCTTGCAAGCTCTTAATCTCCGGGTCATGGGTTTGAGCCCCACATTGGGCAAAGGTTTCCTGCATTGCAGGGGGTTGAATCAGATGACCCTCGTGGTCCCTTCAAACTCTACAATTCTATGATTCTGAGATGTTTTGGACATTGTTTCCCAGCAGGGAAATAGCCAAGAAATAAGGGGGGGGTGTGATTGTGGTTTGTTTCCATTCTTATTTTTATTATATACACTGCTTTTATTATGTACACTGTTATTATGTACACACAGTGTGTTTTTTATATTGCAATTTTATGTTGTGAACCGCCCTGAGATCTACAGGTAAAGGGCAATCTACAAATTTAATTAATTAAGTAATTGTAATAATAAATAATTTGGAGGCAAATAAAAATGGGATTATACAAATCCATCAAGGATAGCAGCCGACAGTCATGCTTTATCAATTCAATTCCTTCTAAAACACACAGGGTAACAGTTGGTAACACACAATAAGCTCTAAGTACACACTATGTTTTGTCTTATTCTTACTGGATCAGATTGTTACTATTAATGTTTGATGTTTTATTATTTTTATATGTGTTGGAAGCTGCCCAGAGTGGCTGGGGCAACCCAGCCAGATGGGCAGGGTATAAATTAAAAAACAGTATGATTTATTTTTACAGTGGTACCTTGGTTTAAGAACAGCCCTGTTTACGAACTATTTGGTTTACAGACGCCGCAAAACCGGAAGTAGTGTCCTTGTTTGCGAACTTTACCTCAGTCTAAGAACAGAATCTGAATGGTAGAAGGGCACTGGTGGAGGGAGGCCTCGTTAGGGAAAGCGCACCTCAGTTTAAGAACGGTTTCGGTTTAAGAACAGACTTCCGGAATGGATTAAGTTCGTAAACCAAAGTACCACCGTATTTATTATTCTACTGCATTTGAATCCTACCTTTGCTCCAAAGAGCTCAAGGTGGCAGGCGTTTCTATCCCTCCTCATTCAATCCCCACAACAGCCAATTGATGGAGGTTCGGTTGAGAGAGGCAGTAACTGACCCAGTAAGCTTCAAGACCAAGTGGGGATCCGAACCTACATTGCACTGGTTCAGAACTTGCCAGCTGCCAAGAAAGGGGCTGGCTAAGAAGAACAGGAATGGGGCGGGGGACCACATGCCCCAGTCACTTCCTCAGAGATTCTGTCTTGCCATGGCAGAATGCAACTGATGAAACCCTGAGATGACCCAATCAATAATAAATAATTTTTTATTTATATCCCGCCCTCCCCAGCCGAAGCCGGGCTCAGAGCGGCTAAAAATAAAATAATACAACATTCTAAAATCATTTCATTATAAAATTAATTCAAATCAAATTGATGGCAACCATTGGGCTAGAGTTCCGTGAAGATTGCCAAAGGAGGGAGTCAGGCTGTGCCCTGGCCAAAGGCCTGGTGGAACAGCTCTGTCTTGCAGGCCCTGCAGAAAGATGTCAAGTCCCGCAGGGCCCTATTCTCTTGTGACAGAGCATTCCACCAGATTGGAGCCACAGCCGAGAAAACCCTGGCTCTAGTTGAGGCCAGCCTAACCTCTCTGTGACCCAGGACCTCCAAGGTGTTTTTGTTTGAAGACCATAAGTTCCTCTGAGGGTCCTAGGCCGTTAAAACCAGCACCCTAAACCTTAAATCAAGGCTCTTTTTCCTCTCTCCCAAGTGCAGGCGCCACAATACCTTTTTGATGTATGCCGCTATGTCCTTTTCTATGTTGTACTTCTCCATGGCCTGAGTGGCGCAGTCGACAGCATCTTGCTGCATGTCCTCGGACATGTCCGCATTCTTGATCACTGCCTTTCTGTCAGACATGATGGACCTGCCGGGAGGAAGCCAGAGAGGAGGGTCAAGTCACTCTGCAGACCACCACGGATCTGCCACGGCGCCACCCCTTGGAATGGCAGCTTGCAAGGAGGCAGGGCTGGGTTGAGGGGCAGACTGAAGCTGTGCTGTGTCCAATCCAACGGATGAGCCGCCACGGCTGCTTCTCTACCAGCTTTCAAAAGAGGTTCAGACATGGGGCTAGTCCACAAGAAAAGCACACCCTGCATGGTAGAAGCAGTGGGATGTTTTGTTTGCTTGACCAGCAGCTGTTTATTCTGGCACCCTCCCTCCATCTATTTCAGTCCAACCTGATTGGGAAAAATGAGAGTTTTTAAGCAAGGGGTCCTCCCTTTGTGACTGGGGAAGGGGGCAGTTTGGTGTGTCGCATTTCGTGCAGGCCTGATCTATCAGCACCAGGCTTCCATGCAAATGCACTCTCAACGCAAGGACTGAACACTGCAAACACACCTCCACAGCTCTCACTTCCACTGCCACTGGTAGATGCTAGAGTTCTTGGAGAAATCCTCTATTGTTCACTCTATAGCATGGATAGAGTACCCGGTGTTGCTAAGACTACAACTCCCATCAGCCCCAACTAGCATGGCCAGTGGTCAGGGATGGCCAGAGTTGTAGTCCAGCAGTATCTAGAGGGCTGCAGGCCCTCCTGATCTGATTAAGTCAGGCTGTTGCTTGCAAAACTGCTATTTCTACCTAGCCAGCAAACCTACAACAACGGAGTCAGACCTGTACCACCTTATGTTGAACCCACATGCTCTGTAACTGCCAGACCAGCAAGATTTCAGGCCAAGAGAAAGGGGCCTCAGCTCATTGGCAGAGCATCTGCTTTTCATGCAGAAGGTCTCAGGTCCAATCCCTGGCCTCTCCAGGTGGGACTTGGAAAGCTTTCCTGCCCCAAACCCTGGAGAGTTGCTGCCAGTCAGTTTAGATCAGGCATCCCCCTCCAAATGTTTTGGGACTACAACTCCCATCATCCCTAGCTAACAGGACCAGTGGTCAGGGATGATGGGAATTGTAGTCCCAAACCATCTGGAGGGCTGAGTTTGGGGATGCCTGGTTTTTAGACAATAGTGAACAAGACAGGACCAATGCTATGACTCACTATTAAGGCTGATTCCTGTGGGCCTAAGATGCTTTTGAATAGGGCCTCAGAATCGGGCCCAGTGCACCCGGTCAGCAGACGTCAAGTTGTAAAGCTGTTTCAGGTGGCAAGGAAGGGCTAGCATGTCCGAAACATGCCCAGAGGGGGTGAATAAGCTGTTCCCTTCTATCAGACACTTCTAGAGAGCTAGATCCCAATGGGACTGTACATTTAAAACAGTATCCTACCACCTTAAACAGTTGTGGCTCCCCCCCCCCCAAAAAATCCCTATTCCCAGAGCTAGAATTCCCAGAATCCCTTGGGAAGAATGACTGGGAACTGCAACTCTGTGAGGGAGACTCTTCACAACACCCGGGACCCTTAAAGCAACAGTTCCCAGGATTCTTTGGGGGAAGCTGCAACTGTTTAAAGTGGTATGATACTGCTTTAAATGTATAGCACAGACCGGACTTTAGTGCAATCAAGACCTGGCTTTACCGGGTAGGGGGAAAAGGAAAACCAGAAGACAACAGTCCACTGGCAGCCTCAGATGCAACGGTTCAGCAAGCCTCTGTTCTGCATCTTTTTTGAACCGGACACCACGGCTGAAATCCTTGACGTTTTAATGCAGATTTGTACTGCTACACTGGGCCTCTTTTATAAAAATAGAAAGAGTTCCCCAACCTGATGTCCTCTAGATGTCACTGGGACTCCCCAACTCCCACCAGCCAGGATGGCAGATAGCCAGGGATGACAGGCAGTATGGTGCAGTGGTTAAAGAGTGTTCAAACAGAACCTGGGAGACCAGGAAGTTCAAATCCTCACTCAGTCAAGCAACTCACTGGGTGACCTTGGGCCATCAGCCTAAACCACCTCCAAGGTTGTTGAAAGGATAAAATGTAGAGGGGGAGAACCACATACAACTCCTTGAGAGTGCGAGTTTGGAGAACCTGGTGAAGGATCTAACCTCTGAGGGTGGGACTACCATATGTTGCCAGTTCCCACCCTCCCTGACCAATTCTGGTCATACTGGTTGGGGATTATTGAGAGGGCCTCAGATTCCCCATCCTGGCCTCCCTCAAGCAGGCAGATTCAACCCCTTTCTTACCTACCAGCATACAGTTAAAACTGAATGTGTGAACACCATTTATATATCCAAAACATGTAACTGGGACAAAAATTTCCACTTGGAAGGTTCTTTGAAAGAGAAAGAGGGACCAGCAGGCACCAAAGATAACAACAGAGATGGCGCCCGTCTGCTACACAACAAGATGGAATCCCAAAGGGTAGCGGAATCCACCCTAAAGGTCCAATTCCTGCTCTGTGCAGAACAGACCTTCTGTTCAAACGGTCTCTGCAAGAGACACTCTCTCCTTCAGAGCACAGTGATCAGCTGAGTATAGAAGGAGTGAGACAGTTTTTAAGGCATCCTGATCCGAAGGCTATAGGGCTGTGTGCATATAGAGCACCTTGAACTCTGCTTGGTACTGTTCTGAAGACAACAAATCAGAAAAATGCCATCTCTTCCCTTCATCTCTCTCTCGCATATCAAAAGCCCCCTCCTCCATTACTCCACTATCACTGAGCTATGAGTACATGTAACTGAAATGAATATAGACTTTTCCATTTTTGGCTCTCACCTCCATTTCCATCTCTTATGGAAGCTCCTTTGTAAGCTCCTCAAGGCCACAACTGCCCACCCATGTCATGAGTTAAATCCTGCATTGGCTGCCCACCGCTGGTTCTCAGCAGGGAACAGGCACGGGCAGACAAAGCAAACAGGATTTAACTTCCTGCTCACCAGCAGATGCCCAGGGAGTTAAATCCTGCTCAGTTCTTCAGGATTCCATGCAAACTATCCCGGTTCAAGGAGTTTGCATGGAACCCCCTGCTAAAATGAAGGGACCTCTGGTTCTAGCAGCTCCTTGCAAGGTGCTTTGAAACCCCAGCTTCAAAGAACTTTGCACCTGACGCCAGGTAATTGGCAGGCTGGCAACTCTGCCCGCCTGTCAAACTTGGCCTGCAAGGCTGATCCCAAAAGAATCTGGCCCAGGGAGCCAAAAGGTTCCCCACCCATTGTAGACCACACCCCACACTGGCACAGAATAAACAGGACCCTTAACCCTCCCTAGCCAACATTCAAAGGCTGAAGGTCAGCATTTTCTTGCAAGCCTCTACCAACAAGAGCTGCAGTTCCCAAAGCTTTCAATGCCCACACTAATGCATGCAGCCACCACCCACTGAAATAACTTGGCCATACATGAGCTTCATAAATGGGAGTTGACATAGCCAATCACCCACAGACTTTCACTGGGGTGGGTGGAGAGTCTCTCTACTCAGCTGCCTTAACCACAAACAATGCAGAGCCACAAAAGGGTTGAGCCACAGATGCAAACGCTGCAAGGAAGAAGTGAGGTCGGTCTCTGTGGGCACTTCCATATGACCAATATAATAACCAGGGCTGCGGTTGTGGTTGTTTTTTAAAGGCTGCTCAATCACATCACTCACACCCCTTCCCAACTGACATCTTTTAGGAACATTAGAAACTGCCCAACAGTTAATTCATGGTTAATTCCCAGGACAGAGAGTAGAAGCCGTGACAGTAAAGCCAGACTTTTAAAACTAAGTTACTAGTCCACATGACTGACACGCTGCCCGACTGCCAATCCACAGCCTGTTAATTTGTGTCACACAACATGTGCAAGTTTCAATAGCCTCTGTGCCTTGGTCACAGGCAACTAGTTCCACTTAGCATAAGCAAATAGATAGCCGTTTTGGCTGGTAGCCATAGGTAAGTTCTAGCTCTACTGTCAGAGGCGTGTGGATACCAGGTATAGGGGGATTGGGGGGGACCCTGCTTATGGGCTTCCCATTGGTCACTGCAAGAACAGGACACTGACTAGCAGGGTCTTTTTGCTGCTCTTCAAAAGCAGGTTTCTGGAAGAGCTTTCACTCTGGTGGAAGCTCATCGCAATCAGGAGATTCCCCAGCAACCATCGCAGGAGGACAGTTCCTGGGATTCTCTAATCCACGGCCAGAGTTTACTCAGAGGACACCAATCCAGATTCCCCTGCCTGCAGGAGGAGTTAAACTGACTTTGCAAATACCAAACCTTATCCACCCAGAATCGTAAGCATTCCCCAGACCCCTACAGTGTTAAGGAGAAATGCCAGGATGGTTGCAGAGTGGAAGACAGGGAGGGTGGTGTTAACAAGAAGCCCTGAGCCTTCCCAGAACCACAGTTTGCAGGAATATCTTGAACAGGAGTGAGGAACAGCAGCCTGGAATGTGCCCTGGAACTCTGATGCTGCCTCTTGCTTGCATGGATGGAGAACAGGTGTGTGTGTGTGTGTGTGTGTGTGTGTGTGTGTGTGTAGAAACCAGCCCTGATGTACAAACTACAAAGTCATCATTTATATGCTTGGCCCCACCCACTTTTTCCTCCAGCCCTGCCCACCACTGCCATGTGGCCCCCGGAAGGTCCTACAAAAGGGTAATAAAGTTCCCCACTCTTTGTTCTCAAAAGAGCTGTTAACTATCACATTCAAAGATTTGGGAAGGGGGCCCAGCTCAGCAGAAGAGCATCCAGAGCTGGGTGCACACCTGGGCCCAGATTTAATCCACGACATCTCCCATTAGGAGGAGGATCGGGTAGCTGCTGCCAGCCAGAGCAGACAACACTGAGGTCAATGGACGACTGGCCTTAACCTGGTATAAAGCAGCTCCCTGCACTGGTAGCGGAGATGTGTCTGGGGTAATCAGTCAGCAAGGAGATACTCAAGAAACAAAGGGTGTGAACAGCAAGCTGATTAACTGACCCCACCCCACCCCTGCACACATACACAGTCCTTCTATGAAAGAGCTACTGGGAAAATCTTCAACAGAAGCTTATTCAGCTTCTTACACGTTGCACCACCCACTGGCAGCTAAGGCAAGCAAGCCAGCTTCCTTATAGGCCAACCACTACTAACGGCGACGTAAGAACATGTGCTTGAGCTTGCTTTCCCCTCCTCCCTCCCCATTCTTTTTCCTCGTGTGTCATGACTTTTCTGTTGTAAGCCTGAGGGCAGGAGCTGTCTTAATACAGATTTCTGCAAGCTGCTCCATAAAGCCTTTTTTGTGTGTGTGCATTAAGTCTGGGGTATAACTGCCACAAATGAACAATTACTTTAAAAAAAAAGAGGAAGAGTTTTTCCGTCTGGAAGCACTGAGACTGCATGCTGAGAGTGATTCCCGTCTCTTGGCAAGACCTCAAAAGGGACAGAAGGAATAGCTTTGTTGCAGCCGTTAAAAGATCGCTATCCAAGAGCGAGGAAGGAACCCAGAATCCGTTACATAATAGCCATGGCCAAGGTTACAATTATCCAAACCTTTGTAGTCCCCCCCCGCCCCCCAATTCGAAGACGACCCTGTGCATCCCTCTCTGCCTGAAAAACAACATTATTGCATTTACCATCAAAGAGCTGCTACATTTACTGGAACTGTAACAAGAGGAAGACTCCCACTTTGCACACACAAAAAAACTTTGAAAGGATATGGGGTTTGCTACAGTCCTAAACCAGGTGCCAGGAACCAGTGGCCCTACAGATGTTGTTGAACTACAACTCCCATCAGCCCCAGCAAGCCTGGCCAATGTGAGCAACATCTGCGGGACCACAGGTTCCCCTCACCTGTCCTAGACAGAAGAAGAGCCAGCCTGTCATTGCTAGCCTGCAAGGCCTCTTGGCAGATGCAGGAAATGGATTCAACCCAGCAGCCACGTTCTTCAACTTCCACTTGCTCCCATTTCACAGGTGAGGGAAAGAGAGGCCTTCCCTGCAGGAGGAGCGGAAAGCACACCAATGAGTACAAAAGCACCCTGGAAGTTTAGGAACAGCATCCACGGTGAGGGCGATGGTGTCCCACCATGCTTTTGGAAACAGAAGCCCAAATGAAAACCAACCCGATTTTGAAAGATCGAGGGACACCGAGGGAAGCAAAGAGAATTAGGCCCCCCGCCTCCACTGGGGTCCCGAAGAGCACACTTTCCCCCTGCAAGTTAATTCGTTTTTATTTTCTTCCATTGAGGAAGCTGCGTTATATACTGAATCAAACAACACAGTCTTAATATAGCCCACTACTGCACCTGGGACCTGCGCATGGCAATGCTGTCGCTACGCCCTCTCCTCTAAAAGTCCGGCCTGTAAGAAATTCAAAGCACCGTCCTCAGGGGAAGACTTGCTGCAAAGCCAGGGATGTTGCCAGAAAAAGGTTGAAGGGCCAAATCCTCCCGCCAGCCAGACGTGTTCTGGGGTCACCCGTCTTCCAGCAGCGTATTAGTTCCACTTGAACTCAACACCAAGCTTATCAGTACCCATCTCGGCTAAGATGAACTTAAAAAACAACAACACAAAAACCAGGGAAGGCATTTATGTAGTTCCTTCTAATAGGGCAAGCCAGTCTCTCCGTAAAATATTTACAGCATGAATATGGGGGGTGCGGGGGAGAACCCCCAAAGGATCTTACATTGGATACATGCATGCAGGCCCCTTGCAACAGCACCGGGGAAAAGGGCCGTGGCTCAGTGGTTAGTGTATCTGCCGTGAATGCAGAAGGTCCCATGTTCAATGCTAGGGTAGAGCTGGGAGAGACATCGGCCAGTCAGTGCAGGCAGCAGTGAGCTAGACCAGGCACCCCCAAACTTGGCCCTACCAATGGTTTGGGACTACAATTCCCATCATCCCTGACCACTGGTCCTGTTAGCTAGGGATGATGGGAGCTGTAGTCCCAAAACATCTGGCGGGCCGAGTTTGGGGGTGCCTGAGCTAGACAGACCGACTCAGAACGAAGGGAGTCCCTGTGCACCATCTGCCCCTCTGCCCTTACTATGGTCATCACTTCTAGAACAGTGAGGACAATTCAATAATTTGAGTGGCATGGGCTGGGGGGGGGGGAGAGAAGGGACCCTGGGATTCATTCAAAAGCCCTATCATAAAGGAAGCTGTCTTCTCCTTGGCCAGGACCCCCCCCCCTGCAATGGAGGAGAATGCAATGGGGTGGGCAGCATGGGCATAGCCAGGGGGGCAGCTGCCACTCTCGGATCAAGCAAAACAATTGAAATACTTAATTGATCAATCACATCAGTTCTGCGCCCCCCCCAAACAAATGTCCTGCCCGCCCCCCAACAAAAATCCTGGCTATGCTCATAGTGGGCACGCACATTATCCCAGGGCGCGTCCCCCAGAATCCTTGCAATATACACCATCCTCATGTCTCAGTGATGGGAGTTTTGCTCCGATCCCCCAACAGCCAAGCCACAAGGAGGACAGTAATTTGAGGACCACAAGCCTGGGTTGCAGAAGGGATGTAGCTCAAAAATAGAGCATGCAGGTTTGATCCCCAGCATCTCTGGGCAGGGCCAGGAAAGGATCTCTGCCTGAATCCCTAGAGATCCACTGCCAGGCAGTGTCAACAATGCTGGACCAATGTCCTGACTCATGTTCACGCATGCATGGGGGTGGGGAAGGTGTGTGTGCCGTTATCACCTGCCCAGCCAAACACAAATGCCATAAAAGGCTTGTTTACAACATCAGCCATTTAAAACCCAGTCCCTTTTACTCTTGCAGGGAGAGTGCCAGTCTGAGCAGCCTGGCGGGGTTGGCGGGAGGGCGAAGGAAGCAAGAGAGCCGTGGGTGCCACTCCGAGGTCCTTGGCAGAAAAAGTGGGGTGTAAAAACGCAATAGTAAATAAAACGGCACTTGGGGGGCGGAGATTCTCTTTCCTCCGGAGAGCATCCTCCCTTACTATGAGGCTGCTGCAATGGGGAGTTTCCCTTTAATACAGCCTCAATCTCTTTTTTGGGGGATGGGGAGAGAAGCAAGGAGAGGATGGCTTGTAGAGTAAGCCCCAGAGGCCACACCACACATACAATCTTCCTTGGATCCTGACCAAGTTCAGCTCCACCTGCAGGTTCCAAAGGTGGCAACAGCCTCCCCAGCTAGAAAAAGGCCTCGGCAATGTTTTTTCCCCCCTCCTTTTTTTTCTTAAAGCCTTCCAAGACCCTACTCTAGAAGGATCCATGCATCTCGGTTCCCTCCATCCCTGACAGGGACGTCACTGGACCTCGAAGCCAAGGGCACCACCAGCACAACCCCATTGGCTCTGCTGCAACCCTCATAGGAAGAGCAAAGGCAGCTTTTTAAGTTTGTCCCACCCTTAAAGGCAACCATCACAGACCTGAACCTGTCCTTTGCAAGAGGGGTTTCCCTCCCCCCCCCCATGGGGAGCTAAACAATCCTTCATCCAGCTCCTGTGTCACAAAGGGGCTTCCTAGCAAGGCTTTAGGAATCTTATTTATTTACCAGCACTCCTAAAAGTCTCCAGTCTGATTTCAGGCTTGACCTTGGGTTTTTTTTGGGGGGGGGGGTATAGTATAAATATTTAATTTATCTGATTTTTAAAATCAATATATGGGGGGGGGGAGAGAGAAAGAACTGGCCGCTTGATTACAGAATGAAATGTTATAATACCAGCTGCATCCCCATCAACACTCACACAACTACTGCAGAGGTGAGCAAGAAAGCCAAGCGGATGGACAGTTTGCACAGACACACACACACATATTTATATATATATATATATACATATATATACATACATATATATATATATATATGTATATATATATATTTGGGAGGGTATAGCTCAGAGTTAGCTGAAAGCCACAGAAACCGCGTCTGCCAAGTTTGGTACAAAGGAAGGTAGATTGCACACTCAATACCCAGCAGCTGTGCCCGCTTTGGGGGGAGAGTGGATGGGGGGGGGAAGCAGCCTGGGTTGCAATCCTCTGCACCTTTACCTTTGAATAATTGTGTAAAAAAAATATTAAAGTCCCACTGGGGCTTTCTGCACTCAAGAGGGTTTACTTCCGAGTAGGCATGCATGAGATTGCACTAGGCGCAGGAGCCTAAGGGGCGTGGACTAAAACAGGAAAAAAAAGAAAAATAAGAAGGGAGGAAGGAGGGGCGGCCAAAATCAAGCATCCCCATCACTTCCAATGGCCAGAACCCCTCGCTGCTCGCGCAACTATTTGAGCGCGCCCCCCCATCAACCCCTCCGCCCCAAACTCGCCCCATCCGTATGCAATTCTGCAATGGAAAAGAAAAGCAAATAAAACGAATGAATAAGTCACCCGTTTGCAACCGCTTACCTTCACAGTGTTAGGCAAAGCCTCCGATTATTTATATATATATATATTAAAAAATAATAATAATAAACGAGGGCGCGCTCTTTCCCCCCTCGGCACGTCGAAAGGCAACGCTGCAAAGGCTTTCTATAGCCTCCCAACGCCTGGGCTCCAATGCGCGTTCCTGCCCCGTTTGCAAAAAGAAAAAAGGGGGAAAGCACCAGCGAAGCGTCCGATGCTGCTGTCGGCGAAGGTGGTTGGAGCGTCGCTCGCTTACTCAGCGCAGCAGCAGCAGCAGCGCCGGCGCCCTCCGCTCTCTTCCCCCCGCGAGCCTCCTCTGGCTGCCTGCCCTGGCCCCCCCTGGGCTGAAATAGGCGCCCCTCCCCTTGCAGTAGCTCAGCCACGCTGCGCCTCCATTGGCTGCCGCAGAGCCTCGGCCCACAGCGACGTAGCGTTCTCCTCTCGCTGTTCTCTGTCTACATCTTATTTCATCCCATAATGCCACGAGGAAATTGCAGAACCAATTTTTTTGTATGTGTGGGGTGGGGGGGGGTGGAGAGAGACTAGGGGTGGGGCTGGAGTTTCTCGCTTTTTGTTTGTTATTAAAACAGAGCGTCCACAAATGAGCCAATGAAGAAGCGGACATTATTATTATTATTTTCCCTGCTCAGGATCTGGGTCTTCTCTCTCGGCTTCCTTCTTCTTCTTCTTCTGCTCTGCCTCTCTCTCTGTTTCCTGGCAGGGAGCTGCTTGGAACAGCTGCATCGCCAGGCAGAACTGCAACAGGTGTAGCTTTATCTCAGCATCACTGGGGGGATGTTTGAAGCTGCACCTGTTGCATTGCTGCCTTTCAAAGGAGCGCTGGAATGAGGAGAGAAGCCTTTGGGTTAGGTAACAGAGGATACAATGTCCACTTGCTTAGGTGGGAATAAGCCCAATGGAACTCAGTGGGACTTACAGTGGTACCTCGGGTTAAGTACTTAATTCGTTCCGGAGGTCTGTTCTTAACCTGAAACTGTTCTTAACCTGAAGCAACACTTTAGCTAATGGGGCCTCCCGCTGCTGCTGCGCTGCCACCGTGCAATTTCTGTTCTCATCCTGCAGCAAAGTTCTTAACCTGAAGCACTATTTCTGGGTTAGCGGAGTCTGTAACCTGAAGCATATGTAACCTGAAGCGTATGTAACCCAAGGTACCACTGTACTTCTGAGTAGATGCCCATAGAATTGCGCTGGAAATCTCACTGGCTTGGGTGTTATTTGCAAATATTGTTTGAATGGGAGGTGAGGTGGGACTTCCTTGGAGCAGGGAAAAACAGAATGTAACACGCACACACCATTTATATGGTTCTTAAATTGATTGTTTAAGAAAAAGCTGTGTCTTTTGATTCCACAATGAAAATACTGTATAACGATATGAAATATTCATGAATATTTGTTTTTTTAAAAAGTTAAGTTAGCTATATTTTGTTTGTTGGGGGGTGGTCCCTGGAAATCGAATCGGTTAACAGCAAAGGTGAGGAACCCCTTTCCGCCCTGGGGGCTGCATGACGGCGATAGGGCCAGAGGTAAAAATGGCATAGACCAGAGGTATAATCTTCACCTTGGTGCAGCTGGCTACATTCCAGCTGTGGAATAGTCAGTGGTTTCCATATGTGCACCCACCGCCCCGTAAATATCAGTCTCTGTACCATCCAGGCAAGCAAGAGGCATTATCATATAATGGGAAAATTCCAGCCAAGCATAATAGTTCAACTGGTAGAGTATGAGATTCTTCATCTCAGGGTTGTGGGTTCGATCCCCACATTGGGGCTGGACTAGATGACCCTTATGGTCCCTTCCAACGTGATAAGTGCTCAAGGAGGGTATGAAGCAGGGCTAGTGAGGGGTGTGGCCTGGGGAGACTGGGTGTGGCTTGGGCAGGGGGCCAGGGAGGATGGCGAGGGCCAGAGAGAGACCTAGAGGGCCTAATTCAGACCTCAGGCCTGAGGTCCCTCAACCCATATATGCGGAGATCAGAAAACAGAGGGACAATACATGCTTACTCCAAACACCTGCCCTGCCCACTCCGGTATCTTAGAATTCGATGAGTGAAACACTTTCTCTATGAACATTTCATTTGCTGGACAAAGCTCACCTGCAGAGCATACATTTAAAGCAAATGGCTTTCCCCCTCCCTGAACGGATCCTGGAAGCTGTAGTTTGTTAAGGGTGCTGGGAATTGTAGCTCCCGGAGGTGTAAACTACAGTTCCCATGATTCCTGGTGGGGGAGGGGCTTTAAATGTGTGGTGTGGGTGTCAACAAAGTTTGGCCAAGTTCCAGGCCCGCAAGGATTTGTGTAAGGCACAGAAGGGGAGATTTTGTACAGCGTCGCTTCTCCCTTTACAGGAAACAGAAGCTCAGTGGTTAAAGCTTCTGAGCCGCATGCAGAAGGTACTGGGTTCAACCCACAACATCTCCAGGCAGAGCTGAGGGAGAGTCTGCAACCCTGGAGAATCACTGCTGGTCAGTGTAACTCAGGTGTGGGGAACCTTTGACCCTCCAGATGTTGCTGAACTACAACACCTTTCAACCCTAGCAAGCACGTCCAATGCCAAGGAATGATGGGAGCTGTATTTCTGCCACATCTGGAGGGTCAAGGGTTCCCCACACCTGATGTAAACAATATTGAGCTAGCTTAGGGTTCCCCAAACTTGGGTCTCCAGATGTTTTGGACTACAACTCCCATCATCCCTAGCTGGCAGCAGGACCAGTGGTCAGGGATGATGGGAATTGTAGTCCCAAAACAGCTGGAGACCCAAGTTTGGGAAACCGTGAGCTAGATGAATATTTGCCATCACTGCTGTTCCTTCCCCATCCAGAGATGTTTTCAAAGTACAGTAGAGCTGAACAGGTACCTGTCACGGCCAAGAGGCTGGATCCAGATGGTCTCTTACGCTCATTCCAGTGCCATTATTAAAAGAGGGCCTGGGGGAGGATGAACGAGGATATGGATGAAAGAAGGCAAAACGTTAAACTTACTACACGTCTCTAAAAATACGTATAAGCAACACCTGAGCTTCGCTGACTCACTCATTAAACAAAGGTGTCACGACTGCCAACACACAGGAAAGCTGAAATGTGGTACGCGCACCATCTAATTCATCTTAATTAATGGGCAGTGGGGGAGACTGAAGGAGGAATGAAACTCGAGATCTGAATGCGAGGGATGGAATGCTGGGCTGCCGAATCCCCTCTGCTAGCAGCCTGATAGGACAGACAGACAGACAGACAAAGAGAAGAATTTGCAGTGGCAATGAACACATATTTATTTATTTGGGACAAGTCAGTAGAGGCTGCTCCATTAGGGCAAATGGGGCACTGCCCCGCCAATCTCATTTCTCTGGGCGCCTCCAGACATCGTTTTTATGGTGTGTTCATGATGGTTTGATCTCATGAAGGGTGTTTTGGCGGTGACACATGATCCCGCTTTCAATACTATTTACAGCTGCAAACATTTCAAGGCAGACATACTGCTTTTGTTTCCAGTCAACGCATCTCCCACAGCTTCCTGCTGAATTCCTGTAATTTTTAATATCACTAATGTTGTAGGTTGTGTGGGGGGTTTTTTTATTGCTGTGCTTTAGTGCAAGAGTACCCCTCCCAATGGCAATGATGTGTGGGGCTGGCCCTGGACATGTTGCTGCTTCAGGCAAAACAAAATCCTAGCCCTGCCCCCCACCTAGCCAGCCACCAGCCAGGGGTGGACTTCGGTCTTTCAAATTTCAGCAGCACCCTGTGCGAGGTCAAAATTTGGAGCCTCCTGCCTCTCGCCTTCCATTCTTCTCAATTTACTATGACTTACTTGCCATGCAGAGACATCACCTTGCCAACAAAGGTCCGTATAGTTAAAGCTATGGTTTTTTCAGTAGTGATGTATGGAAGTGAGAGCTGGACCATAAAGAAGGCTGATCACCGAAGAATGGATGCTTTTGAATTATGGTGCTGGAGGAGACTCTTGAGAGTCCCATGGACTGCAAGAAGATCAAACCGATCCATTCTTAAGGAAATCAGCCCTGAGTGCTCACTGGAAGGACAGATCGTGAAGCTGAGGCTCCCATACTTTGGCCACCTCATGAGAAGAGAAGACTCCCTGGAAAAGACCCTGATGTTGGGAAAGATTGAGGGCACAAGGAGAAGGGGACGACAGAGGATGAGATGGTTGGATAGTGTTCTCGAAGCTACCAGCATGAGTTTGACTAAACTGTGGGAGGCAGTGGAAGACAGGAGTGCCTGGCATGCTCTGGTCCATGGGGTCACGAAGAGTCGGACACACAACAACATAACAACAGATTGTAGAACACATTATAGCCCAAAGAAGATTCCACCTAAACATTAGGAAGAACTTCCTGACAGTAAGAGCTGTTCGACAGTGGAATTTGCTGCCAAGGAGTGTGGTGGAGTCTCCTTCTTTGGAGTTCTTTAAGCAGAGGCTTGACAACCATATGTCAGGAGTGCTCTGATGGTGTTTCCTGCTTGGCAGGGGGTTGGACTCGATGGCCCTTGTGGTCTCTTCCAACTCTATGATTCTATGATTCTATGATTCTATGATTCTATACCATATTTCAAAATGTCAAAAGAAGAGTTGTTGAGATTTTGTTTGTTTTGTTTTGTTTTTGAGCTGTTTTTAAAGGAAATTTGCCAAAGTATCAACACTTCCCATATGGGCGGCAATACGCCTGGATTTTCGTGGATATTTTAACTGATTTTCGGTGGACGAATCTGGGGAATTCCCGATATGTGGCAGCCCTACCAAAGCCCAACTCTGTCCCCTTTCATTATGAAGGTTGCTAACCACACTGAAAATCTGCTGAACCTCTTTGACCTGAGACCACACAGAGATGAATAAATACCACGGACAGTGATGCCCTTGCCGTGCCACCTTCAATGAGCTGGAAGGGTACTTTCTGCTTGCAGCCCCATTTTCATCAAATTGCGACACTTGTTAGTGATCTGCTAGCACCCAAAGACCACCCTGGTTGCTTCCAGACCACCTGATTATTCAGCCTTCATCCTGATTTGATTGCCGCATCAGCTGTTGGCTGAGTGTTCATTCTGATTGGTGCACTGGGAAGTTAAAACAGAGTTGCATCAGGAAAACATTAGGGGGCACACCCCACACTTTCCAGTACAGGTAAAGACCAGGATGCAAGTCTGTGTAGAGGAATATGGCCTGGGAAGAGTTCAAAGGGTCAGGTGGAGGGACTGGACCTGGGCCTAAGGCTCCCCATCTCTGCCTTAGAATCTTGAGATCCCAAAGCACTAGATCAGATAGTGTGCAATTTATTGATCGCTGAATATCAAGAGATATTGGGAAGTATTCCTGGATGGCATCTGGGAAATGGCAGGATGCAGTCTGAAATTTGACCCTCTTCCTTGCATTATTTGGCAATGTAAAAACACAAAGGCGGGTGGCTGTGTCTTTACACAGAGTAGGCCTACTGGAAATCAGTGGACCTAATTTAATCCTATTCATTAAACAGGTCTACTCTGAATAAAACTTAGCTGAATGCTGCACAAGGTGCCAAAATATGAAAGAGAGATGCTTATCTATTTTCTAGTGGCAGCTGACTGGCAATTAGCCACATAGGGAAATAAGGAGGCTTGAGATCATCAATTTGTTGGGATGTTCCGAATGTGGGACGTGGCTCATATGGGCAGGGTTTGACTACGGCATCCTGTCAGCACAATGAGTTTTTCTTGCAAAGTGGGACTCCCCCCCCCCACTCTCCAGATCTGCTCCAGAGGGTTGGGGAACCTCTAGAACAGATTTGGGGGTGGAGGGGGAGAAGAAGGTGCAATTGTGCCATCGCTCAAGCAGAAAACCTTGTGCTGGTGCAGCAGTTGCATAGCATGACATTGGAAACAACACTTCACTGAATCTCACAGGGCAGACCCCGAAATAAACTACAGTACAGTGGTACCTTGGGTTACAGACGCTTCAGGTTACAGACTCCGCTAACCCAGAAATATTACTTCGGGTTAAGAACTTTGCTTCAGGATGAGAACAGAAATCGTGCAGCAGCGGCGGCAGGAGGCCCCATTAGCTAAAGTGGTACCTCAGGTTAAGAACAGTTTCAGGTTAAGAACAGACCTCTGGAACGAATTAAGTTCTTAACCCGAGGTACCACTGTACTTGATTTTAAAAAATGGTCTGATGAACATGTACCATTTTTATAAAGTTTTTATTATATTTTATTTACTAATATTTTATTATGCACTGGAAAAAAAGTCCCCAGCGATGCCCAATTCATAATAGCAAACAATTATAAATCTTATCTGTGTCTTATTTAATACTATCAACAGCTTAATTTGCTTCGGGGACTTCTTACTGTGGGTCATAGTATTTGATTTGGATTCTTCCACACACAAAAAACACCCTTCAAAATTCTTGGGAATGAAACTTACAAATCCTAGACCACTGACCTCCAGTATGCATTCCAATCTGTTCGGGATCTCACTCTGCATTGTGGTCGATGCAGCTCCCCAATAACACATCACACAGAAAATAATACCGGCAGTGAATTAAGTGAAAGGAAGGACAGCGTGGGATTGCCCGTTTTCAGGCACATTGGTACAAAATGCCTTCCAGAGGGCCAATTAGCTGATGGGCAATCTGGACACAGGGACTTCACTGGCACCGACTCACTCCTGAAGTTCAGAACGCGATGAAAACGAAACTTCCCTGCTGCTCCTCCGTTCATCTGGGAACGGGGTTTCAAATAGAGGGGCCGAGAAAACGACTTCCTCTCCGCGGGGCAGTTTGGCAAAGGTGGAGAGAGCTGCCTTTTTGGATAAAGGCATGAATGAAGAAATTCTTCAGTCACCAGGCTGCCCGGTGTGTTTGAAGGAGGAACTCCTCTCCTCTGAAGGGAACATAATAGGAGTGCCTTTTACCAGCTAGGCCTGCTTCACAAACGACGGCGGTCCTTGCGCTGTGATTCATGCACCGGCAACCTCCTTGCTCCATTACTGCAATGCTCTCTGTGTGGGGCTACCCTTGGACCTGGTCCAGAGCTGCCAGCTGGTGCAAAATGCTGCAGCTAGACTGCTGACAGGGACAGACTACGGCCAGCACATAACTCTGGTGCTCAAAAGTCTGCCCTAACTGCCCATACAAGGTACACTACAGGGCCGAGTTTGAGGCACATGCATTAATTTGCAAGGCTCTTAACAACCTGAGTCCAAGATATTTGAAAGACTACCTGAGCAGTCTGCCTTCAGCCAACCCGCCCCCCCCACCTGCTGCCTTATTACAGACTGGGAGTCATCTGGGCTGACAGCTTCTTCTTCCTCAATCTCAGCATTGTAGAATTCAGCAGGGAGGAAGTGGGGAACAAAACTCAAAATAGTGGCCTTTGGCTATCATTGGCTTAGGCTCCCTCTACCACAGAGCCTAGGACTTCCCGATCAGAAGGTCGGCGGTTCGAATCCCTGCGACGGGGTGAGCTCCCGTTGCTTGGTCCCTGCTCCTGCCAACCTAGCAGTTCAAAAGCACATAAAAGTGCAAATAGATAAATAGGTACCGCTCCGGCGGGAAGGTAAATGGCGTTTCCGTGCGCTGCTCTGGTTCGCCAGAAGCAGCTTAGTCATGTTGGCCACATGTCCCGGAAGCTGTATGCCGGCTCCCTCGGCCAATAAAGCGAGATGAGCGCCACAACCCCAGAGTCGGCCACGACTGGACCTAATGGTCAGGGGTCCCTTTACCTGTACTGTTGGGCTCCCTGCCTTCCTTGTCATGGGGCACCAGCGCCCAATGACTGGTACCAAGGGGTTGTTATAAGAAAAAACTGCTCCTTTTCCCTTATGGGGTACCCAAGAGCCCATATAGAGTCCTTATGTAGGTTCTCTATCGGTAGGAGAAAATAACAGAGGCCAACCAGAGAATATTGAGAAGCAAAACAGCTAGTAAGCCTGATCTTTATTAAACTGTTGCAACAGGGAGCTCACACACACACACCCCAAACACAGGAGGGAGGAGGAACCCAGAACATCGGTGTGCAAGTTCTTATAGACTTTTGAAATTGCCTCCCCTGTAGCTCAAGACCACCCCCAAAAACATCATACATACATCACAGAAAGAGGTGGTCCCCAGCAGAAATTTGAGTGTGTTGCTTTTCTCCTGACTGCCAGGATACCTGATAATGCCTTATCTGATTGCCTTTTC